ATCAAATTATCAGATCGAGGAGAGCACTGACCACATGTCGCATGTACCAACATATCATTGAGTTCATCGACAATGTCTTGTGTAACCGGACACAAACTAGGAAAATAATCCCAATGTTTCCTACATTGTATGTCAATTTACTTGCATATGACCTAGAATTTCATTAGGAATGGGACAGCAAGGTAAATATGCCGTGCGAACCTTTACCGGAACACACACCAGTATTGTGCTTCAACGGCAAGCCCTGGTTATGAGAAAAGGACAAATTGTCAGATCTGGTTCTCCTTAGAACTATTAGCTACCCACATATATGTGAGAGGTTGTTGATGCCTTTACATTCTTCGATAATATCTTCGGGATTAAAGTCATCTAGCCAAAAGAGGCATCTGTCGCGGTGATTGGCGAAATAATAGCAACAGATGACAGAGTCGCCACCAAAGGTCTTGGGCTCAACCACAAGGTCCACCTGCCCCATGTCGAGTGAGAGGTTCCCGTCCTCGATGGCCTGCTGGAGTTCGTCCAGCAGATGGTGCATGAAATATTCGATGTCATCGCATATATCTGGTTCACAAACATTCATATCTGTGAATGTTCTCTGCGCATTATAGCTCCAAATCAGATGTCAGTCGTCAATAATTCATTAATTTGATGCACCGTTTCTTGGTTCACAAAATAACGAGCGCCTTCTGGGTGCACAAACGCAGTCCATCCTTCGGGCACACCCATGCTTGAAAAAGTTGAGGTGCGGCGACTGAAAGTCATAAAATGACTTACTCAGGTGCAGCCAATGTCAAAGCAGAGATGGTAAAGCCGGTGACCTTGTACTCTCTTTGGAAAGGTCAGCTGTTGGGTAAACGCAAGAAGGCAGACTAATGTTTACCGGAAACGGCACCTGCCATACCTCTTGACATCATCCGGAACCATAGAGCTTAGCTGCGGGCCGTCATAGACCACGACGACCTCTGAGCCAGGTACCTGCTCATTGTTGCCGGGGGGAGCAGTGTAATGCACATGATGATCTAAACCGTGACCTGGTATCGGCACAGCCTGGGCAGACGAATCCAATGGGGTATAAACCGTATTCCGAGATCCGTGGTGTACATCGGCGATACTGTAGATGCTACTCGGGCGAGACGGGTGAGAATGGACAGTTCCCGTGTGTGCTCGATATGCAGCTTGTCGGGCTTCCGAACCAGCAATTGATCGTGTAAAGGAGTGACCGGTGCTCACCGAAACACGACTACTGGACGCGTGTAGGGAATAGGGCATACCAGGCGCCAAATGCCTCATGGATGGCGTGCGCATTGTATTCAAAGAATGAGCATCGTCCGTGTATCCTCGTGGTCGTGAATGTATCGTGGACACTTCACGGTGGTCAGAAAGGTGCGAAGGACCTGGACTGCCGGACTCCTGCAATGCGCCGTCCTTGGGGAATGTCTTGCTTTTCACAAAACTCTCTTCCATACGCAGAGACAGGTGTGAACTTGACACAGAGCCTTGATGGAGCCCATCTGTGTGAGTGGCACTAGTGTATCCTATCGTTGTTGGATTAGGGTCCAACGGAGGGATCCCTGTACTCTTTCGTAAAGGTAAATGGGATCCTGTGTAAGGATCGTCTGAGGGCGATGGTGGCTCTCCAGTTTCCTGCCCCATTTGACCAGGCGGCAGAAGACTCGGGCAAACACATGAACCCTCTCCTTTGATATCTTCTTGAGATCGCGGGGGCACCCCGCTGGCAAAACGAGTGATCAATCTCCGATCACCGAGCCTCAAATGACGTGCTACAAAACGATGCAGTGAAGACAAGACAACGAAGAATAAACTTGCAGAGCGACGTGCAAGCCGTGAAAGACATTTCTTCAATATGTTGAGAATGTGGGTGAAATGATCTGTGATCATGGCGGGCTATTGCACAGTAGTACAGTAGCAAGTGGGGGAGGGAAAGAAAAGAACAGGCCATCATGCCACATTTATCCAACGCCACAGCCTCAAGGCGCTTATTACGCATTGCTGTACTGGAGCTTCGAGAAACAAGTAAAATTTATCTCATGAACATGTAAATCGGAGTGGTCCATCAGAAACGCAACCTTAGCATGGCAGCGAGAGTGTTGCAGGGGAAGCGAGGACGAGGATACTGTGCAATGTGATATTAAGTGCCTGGTGTGATGAAGGAACATAAATGGCGTGGGAGGATAATACTAGGATGTCACAAACCCTGGTTAGCGCTCGCATATTTCTATGGAAGGCTATCAAGAGGCTTCTTAGGCCCGATTGTCCGAAGAGAAATCCATCACGTTTTGAATGCCAAGCATGTCGCAAAAAGCGGTAGTCTGAGGATTAGTGTACCAAGGTGCTGCATAACCAATGTCAGTGAATATATATCTAGACGAATTAGTACTCTCACGTTGTTGATTCTTTTGAGCTCCTTCACTTCCAGGACCAGGGGCGCTCTGCACGAATGTCTGGCAATCCAAAATGGTTCGGATGCCAGGTAGAGGGACATCGGAAGAATTTGCTTCGTTATTATGCACATTAGACTGGACCCACACCATCTCTTCAGCAACCATCGCACGAGCTGTTGCTTCATCGGGATAATCTGCTTGACGCCGCCTCGTGGAGAAGAATGGGTGAAAAGCGCGTGATATTGCCAGCCATTCCGGATCGAAGGTTAACTTCGGCATGCAGCGTTGTCCAGGCATGGTAGATTCATCCGATGTGGTAGGCACATCGATGACCTATATTAGAAATTATCGGAACCATGTCCTATCGACACAAAGCCACATACCTCCATAAATTCTCGTTTTGGAAGGCATTTATCCAATGCGAGGAAGTTCGTCATAGATGGCTGTGGCCGATAAGCAACGGGAGGCGATTGTATAACTTCCTCTTCTTCCTCTTCTAGGGTTATTTCATCAGGATTGTGGGAACTCGTTTGCAAACGAGAATCTTCAATTGGAGGTTTCTGAGATTCAACTGCATCGAAATCATCATCTGCAATTGCTATTTCATCTGGGTTTTGTGGTGGCGAAGTAGTGGGCAGAGAATTTGACCCAGTACCGGATTGTTCATGCTGTACGGTAGCCTGAAAGCGAACATGCAAGTGCGCTGAAAACCACCATTTTGGTTTCAGTGTCCGCAAGAGCCCCATTAAAGGAGGGGAACCCAGGTTGCCCGTCTGTACATCCTGTCTGAAAAATGGTTTGCGGCGAAGGAGGCCCTGAGTGTCACCATGTCGCTCGATGTATTGTGGCCAATCATGAGAAAGGAAGATATCCGGGGAGGATAGCTGTGATGTATCCAATGTGAGATCAAGAACTCACAAAGACTAAAATTCACGCACCAAAGACAGACGACGAACGTTAAATTCCCTGATGTGATATATGCTTCGCATGGTGCCATGATCGTAAGGTAATCTTTCGTAAAAACCTGCGTGTGTTTAATGTGGAGTATCCGAGAACATGATTGGAGAATCACCTAGACTGAAATCATTACTTTTGAAAATTCCAGACGCACCGGCGATACGAATACCGTTCACTTGGATGCATCCGGCATGCCCAAGGAAGTATATGTTTGGTGCAAGCCACCCACCATGATACCTGTGAGAGTAAATAAGGGTACAGGTAGCGCGCGGAGCGGATGCGTACAGTTCTGACATGTAATTCGATGCCTCGTGATTCCCGCCTATTACGATGGTAAGCACCGGAGCAGTCTTTTCTCCTGTATAGTATCTAGAGAAAAGTGGATCAATGCATGTTTATGTCAACTAGGTATTGGCACGTACTTGTGGAAATCACCTAGCTGCTTATACTTCTGCGGGACAGCCATGCATTGCATGTCTCTGTGATTGCGAATAGCTTGAAAGTCCCCGCACATGAGAAGTAAATCCACAATATAGTTGTGCCTGGCCTCTAGATCGCGTAGGTGCTGGTAGATCGCGTTCAGTGCGCCATGGCTGCATCCCTCCACTGCAATCTATTAGAATGAGTCAGTGGATAATTACTATGACAAGTGGCAAAACTCGACCTTCATGGCTTGAAAGAAAGTGAAGGCTCCTTCTTTGAGATTGACCAAGTATTCTGAAACGATTATCTTCCTTTCCTCTATGAGGTCACGATGAGACTAAGTCACTCAGAAGGTCTGTGGCTGTGCAACTCTTTTTGTTCATGGTAGACTCAAGTACATAGTAAGGAGGATGAGTATATCTAATTAACTGAGCATGAATTCGTACTACTTATGGTTAAATATCAGTGAAATTCGGACCAACGATTGACAGAAATCACTGAAAAAAAAGTTCGGTGTCCGTAGAATGATCATGCATGGTATCGATATTGATGGACCTGTCAACGCGTTCCGTCTCAGACAACGACACTGATTGACGCCAGACCTGGGGAGTTGATTTGAAGAATAAATGGCTCGCATCCTGCGGTTCTCATAATGTATCGGCATGAATCAATGCATTTCAAGGACCACAAAGCAACAAATTAGCTATAAAAATTAAAATAGGCCACTCGCATGTACGCCCGTTTATGTTACCAGTTCCTCCTTCCTACTAACCTGCTGATTATGATATACACTGCCTGGCTAACCACCTGAGAACTTCGCGAGAGTTTCGACCATGTTTGCGATCTGTACGCAATCGGTAACCTAGACATAACACACAAATAAGTGCACAATAGGGAGCAACGCGCGTCGCTGCCATTGTATAGGATATATTGTCAGAAAGATGCACAAGAGCAACTGAGTTGGACAGTTGCGAGAGGCATGCCACATGTGTACTCGATTCGTGACTGCCCACAAGATCGCCAGACCAACCGAGACCGGACTCAGAATTAATGTGCCATATCCTCGATGTCTTCACACAAGCTCGATAGAGACGAATCGGTCCAAAGTCTCTGAATGTAGATAATTGAGGAATTCCAGAGGGAAGACTCCCATGGGGAAGACAGATGTATTTTCGGCTGGGAATCGGGATTCGAAATAACGGGGGCCAAACAAAACCCAAACCGAAAACTTTCGAAGGAATGTAATTGTGAGGCTGTTGCAAAGCTGTACATGTTCAACTTGAACCTGAATTGTTTCGAGCGTATGATTCTGGTATATTCTGATGGAATATCAGGCCTAGGATCCGACGGACAAGCCCGGTGAGTACAACGAGATAGCGCCTTCAATAGATTGACTCTCACCCGGGTTACCGTCTCCGCTCTCAGAAGTATGTAAACCACAGTGGAAAATGCGATCGTGTCTCCCTCGACCATCTCCTACTTATTATCATGCACTTCAGGCTATCTTCCCAGAAAATTCGACATCATTATGACGATGATCCGGCCACTGTTCGTTCTGTCAATCATCAGCGCTTGAAGAGCGTCAGCGCTAGACTTGCATCAACCATTGGTGAGTACTGAGCGCTTTTTGTTCATCGCTTCTCCATGGTCCGAATAGCCGCTGACGTTTTGGAAGCTGCAAGGAATATTATCAATGCTATACAGCGCCGTGAGATTGTCCATAGATTGGATATCGGCAACAGTTCAATGGGCGATGAGGGTTGCGTACAGCTTTTCAACTTTCTAGACTCTCCTGCTGGTCGAACATGCAAAAACAGCCTCACCGAGCTGTACCTCACAAGGAACGGTATAGGTGGAAAGGGTCTACTTGCTGTATCAAAGTTCATCAGGGACAATGATGTGCTCAGGGAACTGTGTCTGTCCGGTGTGAGTACGGAAACCTCTGGTACTATCCTGTTAAAGTCTCTCAAATTGACACTTTCCTCGTGCTTAACGCAGAACCCATTATCGACCGATGCGGATGTCATCGCACAATTTACCACTGCACTGAACAGCTCGAGACTGTGCACGCTCCAGCTGATCCATAACGGCACTCTCTCTGACACCTTCATTCGCGCATTCCTTCCCAGCCTCAACGCACGGTATCTGCGTCAACTCGGCCTTTCTGCCACCAATATTACCCGCGTTGTGGTCCCTACCATCATTGAATATGTCGCGTCGCCGCGTTGCAAACTGGACCAATTGCAGTGCAACGCGAACAGCCTGACACTGCCCGGTGCGCGTGAAATCATCAACGCTATCGAGCATGAGAATTACAGCCTTTTCAAGGTCAATCTTGATGACCTGCATATTGATGAGTATGATGGCGACGGCGAGGAGCGCACTCTTGCGTGGCAAGAGGGTTGGCGGATTTTAAACAATACATCCCAGAGGAACTTGACGAAAAAAATCCGGGTGAAAAAGCAAGCTGTCGCGCTGCTGCTGTACAGCCGTGCATTGTTCCTTCGGTCGGGCAAGCGGGACCTACACGGCGGTGCTCTTCTTGACTTTGATTCTGTTTCCGCCCTCAATCGACTTTCCGCAGGTGTCAAGTCAAATATCATTTCCGCGCCCTCGATGTTCTTCCAACTGCCTGAGGAAATACAGCAGGAAGTCATCGCCTTACTAGCACCGGATCTATCTCACCGGCAGCGTATCCGCGTTGTTGCATTTGGCGCAGATTTTCGCACGCTTCCACAACTGGATGAACCACGTCTTGAACCAGCGAATGCGGTACATCTCCCGGCGTTCATGCGAGCAAGTGTCAGCCGGCAGACTGGTGCCACCTCCAAAGTACCACATGAAGGTTCGTGGAAACCTCCAGCGTGGTGGGAGTGTGCGTGCCCTGAGGAGAAGCGTAGACATTGCCGAACTCTCCACCGCTGGGAGAGAGAGAGGCGAGATGTGTGGCTGACGCATGTTGGATGCGACGTTTGGGAACCTGAATTTGCCATGCGAGACGCAGAACTTTGATCGCGACTGGTTCGGACTCGTTTCTGCTCCTGGGACTTGTTAACATCTCAACGATCGTAAGCAAGCCGTCATTGCGCACCGATATTTACGTAATTTGTGTCTGTGCGTCTGCCATCCAACTGCCGTCCTGTACGTCCAAGTCTCATGGTATATCTATGCTCTACAGCTCTTGAGATAAGCTGTGCGCTGCTGTGTCTTTTATGCAAAGTACATAAAATTCAAGTTTGCTTCTCGCTATCCTCTTCATTCCCCTTGAATCTCTGACTCGACCGAGTTACCCAGTTCTAGGACCTTAAATTATTGCGCTCGACAGCATATACTATCCAGCAGCCGGTATATTTGACTCAGCATCCTGAGCCCAAGCCTATCAGTCTTCAGCCTCGTTCATCAGTGATCAGTCTAAATGCCGGGTGACGTTCCTGCCAAGCCTGAAGGAATACAAAGGGCACTCCTTATTGCTGTGGAAAGGGTATCCGGTTTCCCCAACCTCCCTCAAGCGCACATAGATGTGATAAAAATGAGAGACTTTCTTGTAAAGTGTATGTATGTTTTATGATGGAAAATATCGTCGAATTAATTTGTTGCTGCAGTTCGTGGCTACCGCCCAGAGAACATTGTCACTATGATGCATCATAAGAGTGTTTCGCCAAAGTTATATCCCAGTAAAGCAAACATGGTAAGCATCCTGAATTACGTATTTTCCATGACCTATCTAATCGTAAAGCACAGCTGCGTGAGATTGACATTATGGTCAAACTCACATCCCAATACGACCGGATGTTTTTCTATTGTAAGCAAGCTCTTACGTTAACGCAAAGCGCTAATGATTGATAATCCATCAGACACCGGTCATGGCGATCAAGTGACTTGTAAACACAACTCTGAATCCGACAACAAAGATGAAGGTAGCGTTCCAGCCTCTTTGCTTTAAGCTTTGTTAAAATATTCCATAAAGCCATCCTTACCTACACGGGAAAGCGCATCATTGATAATGTAAGCTCCATATCATGATCATCGTCTGGTTCGTGATGCTGAACGACTCCAAGATATTGAAAGAGCATATCGTTGATCCATTGCCTCAAGGCGCCAAGCTTTTCGTGCGTGTTCCTATTGGATCTCTAAGTCCTACTAACGATGTTGTCTGGTAAACAGGCGTTGTGGGATTGTTGCCACTCTCACACAGTGCTGGGTGCGTAGGTCTAAAGTTCGTGTTCGTTTTTGCACTAATGCAAGCTTCAAAGATTTGGAGCATTCCAACTGCAACGGGTTATGGCGGAGGCCCCTCAAAGTCTTGTCAGGTGAGAGATATATTGTATTGTGTCTTTGAGTCGATACTGATGATTTCAGGTCTGGCAAGGAAAACCAAGACCCTCGGTGGGTATTTTTTTACTCTGTTCGTCATCACATTAATGTTCGCCCCACAGGAAAGAGGCTCAGTTCCAGCATCTCGATGGATAGTTGGGAAGGCCGTTTCTCGTCAAAGGACGACTCTCAATCAAGAAATGTATCATCGGGAACTGATGGCATGGACATCTGCAGAGTGTCCTCTCCTGACTCATACGTACCTCCATGTTCATTCAATTGCCCTATGACGCCCCCCGAGAACCAAGCCATGGCCTGTGTCGTGCGTTTTTCTCTTACTGATGTATCCTGATATATTCTAAAGTTGATCCCCCCCTAAGGTTTCCTTATCTGCATGCAAGGATGATGAGTTGGCATATGACGACAACGTTACGGGTGAAACTGTGACAAAGGTAGGACACAATCTTCTAAGTATTTTCAGCCTGACTGATGTTCGCTTAGTTCTTCATCGAGTACCTCGGTGAGAAGCATATTCAGAGAAAGAGAACCATAGAACTCATCCTCTTTAGAACGTAATCCCAGACCTTCTTATCGCGAGCTACTCTCCCACATACGGTGAGTGTCACTTTCCTGTCTTCTGCGTTGCGCTGATGAGAATATCACAGGGAAAAGGTCTATGACATTACTCGCAGACGTATACAGGCGATAAAACCGACAGGCGAGACAACTTACCACCCGCATCTACAGAGACTATCGGAAAATGAAGTCTCAATCGAGGATTGGCGCAAATGCGATCCCCATGACCATAGCGATGACGGGAATGACACTTCCACTTTGAGCTCTCAGCAGCCTTCGGTGGGTTCGCTGTTTCTTCATCCTGTTCGCCATACTTACCCTGTTTTTTGTGCAGTATTCGAGTCACTACCGCCTGGTGAGTATATTAACGTGGCTTGTGTACTTAGTGTCATGCTCATGTTCGTGTGATCCAGGATATGTCGCAAATCGTTGAATTATGAAGCACAAGACGGACTGTATTACGCTACTACGGTGGTTGATGACATTTACTTTATGATTAATTTAGTATTAACTTGTTCGGGAGGACCTCCAGAGGTCTTTCCCTTCTCACATCCTGGCTTCGAGCAGATATATCACCACTGTTCACAACTTATCATTTCCACGACAATGCAATGCTACCCTACATTAATAGTCATACATACTAGAACCTGACCTTTTATATTCTACTTAACAACTTGCATGTTCTGATTCATATTGCCGCCACAACTCTTGTTCGAGTATTATGAGTCGTGATGTCAGGCAGCGACGAACCCCCAGCCGTCACATTGAGTAATCGAGTTGTAGCAACTGCCTCTGGGATTGATATAGTGGATGTAAAGCCGTAAACATGGGTAGCAAAACCTAGTGATGAAAAATGGCGAGCAGCAAGCGGAATAAGTTCATGAGCATGAGTAAGTATATTAGAGGTGTGTGGTTGAGGCGCAGCTACTCCTACAGGCAGCATGTGCAAGGACGAAAAGCCGCAATGCTAGCGCTGCCGGCACGCATCATCCGAGTGGAGAACAGAAAATTACTTATGACTTATATAAGCAATCGTATCAGTAGCCAATTTTATATTATCGTTTATTAAAATACGTTGACGCGTCTTTCGCGCGAGTCCGCAGTAACTTCAAGCCTCGAACTTGTCACATGCGGTACTTCCTGGCTTGCTACGGCTGACTGGTCTTTCAAAAATTCATTAAAGTGATGAGCGACGTGCACTACAAATTTACAAAGATCAATCAGCCTCTATGATAGTAACCATCGATCTCATCCAGGATTGGTCTACAAAGAAATGGTTAAATGACTAGCGGGTGGTGTCCATCTGGCGACACGCAGGAGAGGAGACGCCAGATTTGCCCCGTACAGTGTGAGTTGATTGGTCTCAACATCTTACAGACTTGCTTTATCTTCACATGACAATTGCAGGTATCGCATGCATTATGCCAGCGCACATTGACGGCCGCCTAGCTACTTATTTGTGCATTGTGCACCTATGAGGTCATTCAGGTGCCTTGGAACTTCGCCGCAGCGGTAGGCTCGGACTCGGATGTTACCTGTAGTAGTGTGGAGTAACCGGCCCGCGAAACAAATGTTATTCTTGCATAAGAGATGTGAGCAATCGTCCAAATGTTGCTGATTTTGCACTGATCGGTTACTGGGTCTTGCAAAGTCCCGTCCTGATTCCATTTCTCGGGCCCAGGATGAGCCTATCCCCATCAACAGGTGATTTTGGCGGCTGCCGCTTACTATGCCTGACAGTCAGTATACTCGTCATTGGATAAAGCAGAACGGAGTAAGGCTCCTGGACTTTACTTGCGCCCCGATTATCGGACAAGAAATGATCGTACTCCATATGACGGGGTATCGCAACACGACACAAACAATCTGAGGCTACTTAAGGCGTCGAGGTGCAGAATAGAATGAACATCCCCCATTCTCTACTTCACTCATTCATACCTGCAATGTCAACATCACCTCGCATAGTTGCGGTGTTTGGAGCTACCGGAACTCAAGGCATGCTGATGTTGTTCGTGCTCAAGTGTCTGGCTAACCACAATCATCAGGCTCATCCGTGGTACAGGCCCTATTAGCAGATGGTACATTCGTACCGCGTGCAATCACCCGAAACTGCAGTTCGGAGAAAGCGTTGAAACTAAAGAGTCTTGGTGCCGAGGTTGCACAAGCCGATTTGTGGGACATCGACTCGTTGAAGCAAGCCCTGTCTGGTGTTGAAGCTGTCTATGGAGTATGTCACGCTTGCTCCATTTCCCTCCGAGGACCTGACTTATCGCTACCTGTTTTAACAGGTCACCGACTATTATGATCCCAAGAACGTCGCTCAAGGTCACAACAGCGAAATGCTACTTGGCAAGAATCTCGTTGACGCTGCTAAAGCGACGGATGTCAAGTACTTCATTTGGAGGTAAATCTGGTTGTTCCCTCTTGTGATTTTGGCTTCAATGCGTACCTTCCGCAGTTCTCTTCCGCACTGTACAAGGGTATCTAACGGGAAGTATGCAAATGTTTACCACTTCGACAGTAGGTCTTAATTTGTTCAGCGAAGCGACACGGGTTAATTATAAAATTGTCAGACAAAGCCAACGTGGATGACTATCTCCGAGAATCCGGCGTACCCCATTCTATCTTATACACCGGTAAGCAGGTTTTCATTTTCGGCGTCTTTCAAGTAGTTGACACCCATCATTCAAGGCTGGTTTTCGGAGAATCTCTGGAAGTAAGACATCCTGCAATAAAGCTTTCCTACGCATAGCTGATGCAAACTTTGTGGCAGGTACAATATTCTTGCGCCCGTGCCGGATTCCGATCGCCTGGAACTGACCGTGGCCAGATATGACGCTCAATCTCCCCAGTATTTTACGTGGGTCGAGCGGGACCTTGGCCAGTGCGCATTAGCGCTTCTCAAGCACTACAAAGATCCTGAATCAGAGGTTCTCTCCCGCACGTTCTATGCCGTCAGTGCAAAGTTGAACTACACTCAATTTGCATCGATCCTCCAGCAGGGTATGTGATCAAAACGCAGGAATTTGTTGATCTAATCTTCCTGCTACCGTCAGCGCTGGGGAAGCCGGTGTCTTTTGTGTCCTCACAGACTACGGGAATGCAGGTCTGCAAATATTTTCTTTCTCTAATGTAGTCCATGTGCTCACATGTTGCGCAGGAAATGGACGACATGGTCGGTATTGTTCGGTATGATTGAAATCTTGATGCTGATGATATTTTGTTAGTATGTTTTTCAGTCCGAATTTGGACTATACCCGGATACCGCTATCCCTGATCCACGATTAATCAATTTAGGAGTAAAGTTCCATACTATGGAGGGATTTATTCAGGAAATTAAAGGCAGATATGCTTGAATCTTATCTCGAACAAAGATCGTTGTTTGCTTGTCAGTTATTCGTTACCAAGACCAATTTATGATTGATCATGCAATCTGTCCCTGATGAAACGCACATGGCTATCCACAGTACCCAAGTTCAGACCATGTTCTTTCGTTCGGGACTGTCATATGTCATTCTTTGCTGTATGTACAGCCAAGTACAGCAATCAGGTGTGAACTTCCAGTACTGCAGTCCGTCTTTCTGATTTGCTTATAGTTGCAGTACTAGCAAATACTGCACCATGATCATTGCATAAATCCTTCTCATACATTATCTTTGTATATTTGAACCCTTTAGGCTTTCGCTTTGCAGGTTGTATGGCGAGTTACAGTCAAACCTTGGCAAGCCGGATCTACTAGTAGATGATTCCGTAATTGCTTTTTAGAAGTTTGACGTTCCATCAGAACCGGCCACTAGGACCGGTCTGACGTTACACCTCATAGTGACGGCTGTGCTCTAGTAATTGTGAGCTCAACACTGCTCAGCGCTCAGCGCTCAGTCATGTGCCTTGCTTGGGAAAATGACGGCCGACTCATTCGTGGGTGCTGTGACTGTCATATATCTCTAATCTCTTATAATCACAGATGGTTGGTTTGCTCGATCTGATACTTCCGATACCTACCACACATCACCGGTCTGATCTCGTCCTACTTGTCATCGATCACTTTTTTGTATCGCCCAGCTGAGCCAGCTCCGAGTCTATGTCTGAGTCTTTGAGTCAAGGCGTATCCCGCAAAGGCAGGAAGAAGGCACTCCTCATCGCGGTGAGGCATGTAATGGGGATCGATCATTGGCTCCCATACACACACTATGATGTACAAGAGTTCAAAGAACTTCTTATCGGTTGGTTCTTTTCATTATGTGTGGACCCCCACAATCAGTGACGCTCTTACAGACCAGTATGGCTACGCTGAAGATGATATTGTGATGCTGGTGGACAACCGCGAATTGCACAAATCGTTCTGGCCTTCTGAAGTCAATATTGTGAGCTTGAACTGAATCGGCTTCAATAATTCTTATTCATCCTTACTTCGTACCTAGCTCAAGAGGATTGAATGGCTCGTTGAAGATGTTGGAGAGCACGACATGCTGGCATTCTACTGTTTGTCTTCACTCATAGCTATATCCGTTAGACTCACCCTTCACCCTATCTCGTCAGACTCGGGTCACGGCGGACAGACTATTTGCCACCATGATAGTGAAGATAATGGTCAAGATCAAGGTGATGTCCATCTTCCCAATAATTTTGCCCAACTAACGTTTCTCCAGTTATCTATGGATATAAGGGTGGCAAGATTATCGACAACGTAAGTTTGAGGATCATATAGCCAACTGGGACACTGAATATTATGTTAGGTCCTGAAGCAGCATCTGGTGGAACCAGTGTTGAAAGCGAAGGGTTGTCAATTGTTCGTGAGTACTTCTGTATGTTCGCCAGGGTCGAGTATTTGATATTGGTCATTCGTAGGCTTTGTTCGATTGCTGTCATTCCGGAACTATCCTCGGTGATTACTCCACTCTCCCTGTCATTTCTACTGACTAACAATCCACATAGACCTCGAGCATTCTAACTGCTGCTTTCCATCACCGTCCCCTGTTAAACCCGTTGTGACCTCCAGCCAGCAAAGCGACATGGATGCAAGTCGAGCACCCCTTGTTGAGAAATGGTCATGGTTGTCGAAAAAATATCATATTTTCCTCCCGGTAAGCATACCGCGGCTGAGCAACAACGTCCTGGTTATTTCTTCGCAGTCCGCCATTGGTATGTATCTTCTCTATCCTGCAGCCTCCCGTTTTCGACATTGCATTGATAGGGCTTGTAAACCGTGTCATGTTGCATCGTAAGTTTAATGTTACTGTGCTTTGTGTCGCCTGACGCAGAATCTAGTTCATAATCACGCTGCGAGAATACTGAAGGTCTTTCTCTCGAGCACACCACCTTGTGCCAATGAAATCAATGGACCTGTGCAGACTGCACCTTCAAGACCACCAGTCTCAGTCATTACTGGCTTTGTTTCTCAGTCGCAATGGCTCACGTCCCCACATCGGACTGCGATGTCACCCATCTCAATATACCCAAATGCTAGTTGCAACGGTACTTGTGTCATGACTGCAGAAGAAGAGAATCAAGGTCGTGTTGTAAGTTACTAATACCTATTTGTAGCCTTCGCGTAGCTAAAACTTCCACTATAGGTGTGCCTGTCAGCTTGTAGAGACAGCGAGGAGGCACATGACGATAATATGACAGGTGCGACTTTCACAAAGGTGAAGAACAAGCTTTGCGCCGCATTTACTACATCCTCATGAATACGTAACAGTTTTTTATTTCTTCACTGAGTAAGTTTGAGATACGTGTACATGATGATCCCTGAAAACTTTTTTCCCAGGGAAGAACTCCAGTATTTCTTACCGGGGCTTACTTGACGATGTTAAGTTAGTTTTCTATTTTGTTGTTTCAACATCTCTTAATTTATTTTCTCCCAGGTCTCAAGTTGCCGACCTTGAGCAAACGAGGTTAGCAGTGATGTGGAGAAAGACTTTTGGCCGGTTTCCGGTCCGAAGGAAACAATTCGAGGTCACATCGGAAAGTTCAATCAACCGGAAAGGCTTAACTCAAGAACCTCGAGTAAGTGCAGGACTTGGTTGACGAAATGAGGTGATAACCAATCAGCCCTCAGATTACAAGTAATTGCCCATTCGTATGTGTTGTTTTCTTGCACCTGAGATCTACCACTCAACTACCAAAAGGACTGGGACAAGAAGGTTTCAATCTAAGCGTTAGCCTTCAAGAAAGGCAAATGTCAGTACCCTACCTCCGAAGAACCTGATTCAAGTTGAACGTTTTACAGTTTATTTACTTATCTACTTTATCACTCATCTATTTTCCGTCGATAATCATAATATTCATAACTCGGGGCTGGTTTCACACTGTCGTTAAAGATCACGCGATCGATGAGTGGGCACGCTTTACTTTTTTTTTGCGGAAGTGTTCCTCCAGTGTCAAAGTCTTGGTTGTCCGGAAAGTGCCGGGAAAGTCACGTTCAACGCACCTGTCGAGTTGAACTGTTCAGTAACGTTCTGCTCTGCTAGGTTGGGTACGCTGAAACTCATCTACTATAACATTTACCTCCTCTTGGCATTCGCAAAATCGTAATAAATCGATGTTCTGACAGAAGCTTGTCCACCGCCTCCCGATCTGACTCGAAGTCAATGCTGTTCCGTGTAAGCCTGTGTAAAGCTGTGAATTTCCTAGAACTTTTCTACGAACGAACAGCCTGAGCACCTGACTCTGATCATCGATCTCTCACTCGTGGGTATTATCTTAAATACTATGTCACAGGAGTTCTTATCCCTCTTCGACCCCATCGCTCCATCACCTCGTTTTCAATTATCGGTTGGAGTCAAGCAAGTTAAAGAAAACTCAGTCGGAACACTCAACAGTCGATCAACTTACATTTCCATAGACCGCAACTGCCGATCGTCTATCCCGTTACGGTCACCTCATATCACTTTCAAACATATCACTTGCCTTTTGGAAACCTTAGGTTCATCCTCTATCTGCTGCTTATATGGCAAACTCTACCAATGTTGGAAATAAGAAGGCCCTCCTCATTGCAGTCCGATCTGTGAGTAAAAAAGGCTTCCCTAAGCCTTTGCAACATGCACACGAGGACGCCGAATCGCTCAAATGCCTCCTTATCGGTGAGTTGTATAATCTCTTGGGCCCGGATCATTCTTCTGAATCTGGATCTTCATTACGCTGTTCACAGATAAGTTCGATTACCCCGAAGCAAATGTTGTCTTGATGAAGCATGATACGGAGTACCCAGAACATCTCTGGCCATCACGGAGCAACATAGTAAGGCACTTAATGACTAAAGCGTGCCAAAGTGACTGACTGAATTGCTGTTTGGCAGCTCAAGCAAATCACTAAAATGGTTGCAAATGCAACCTCAAATGACCAATTTTTCTTCTATTGTAAGTGAAAGATGTCTCATCAGTTTGCAAAGAATCAGAATGACACGTTGGAATGAACAAGATTCCGGTCACGGAAACCAAGTAACTTGCAAGCACCATACGGAAACTGATGGAAAGGACGAAGGTATACTTGATTGCATATTCGCTCTTCGCATCTGATCACATTTACCAGTCATATATGCGTACACTGGCCACTACATAGTTGATAACGTACGATTCCATCATACGTTGTTTCTTGATTTTTGACTGGTCATGCGTTCACAGAAATTAAGAAAGGTACTGGTAGACCCTTTACCTCAAGGCAGTAAACTTTTCGTAAGTGAATGTTCCAAGGCGCCGTACAACACGAGCTCATTTTCTTTTGGGGGACAGGCACTGTTTGACTCTTGCCACTCTGAGACGATTTTGGGTTAGTGCTAGTGATCCCACAACTCAGCTAATACCCGATCTAATCAGCGTCCAAAAGACCTGGAACACTACAAATGCAATAAGTTATTGTCTGGAGACGTTATGAGAACTCGACGAAAGTCATTAACGGGACGCTTCTTGTTGGGTATGTTAAATTTTTGTGCAAAACTCTCGTATATTGACCTAGGGACAAGATTTCGTGTCAAGACCAAGGACACTTCGTAAGCACTTCACACTTTCTTTTCTCGAAATGTCTGACTCGTTTTGTATGTCCATCGATCAGCAGCCAACAACCAACAACCTCTATCGCGTGGTCGTGCGGGAAATCCTTCGCTGACGTTAAACAGCATCCTTATGCGACCTCAATCTCCCAACAGCTGGCTTCCTCGCATGTTTTTTGAAAACTCACCTCTCCGTCGGGTTTTGTCCCCAGTCTCTTGGTTCAAGTGTACGGGTGACTGTCATAAAATGGCAGTAGAAGAGCAGAAAGCAGCTCATGTAGTGCGTATAATTTGGTCCTGGTTGATTTACTTACCAGCAACGTCACTAGGTCTCATTGTCTGCGTGTCGTGATAATGAATATGCGTATGATGACAATGAGACTCATGGCACTGTGACTAAGGTGCGAGTTCCACATCATTTTCGATCAGTTTTCCTAACATGCTCCTTGCAGTTTTTTATTGAATGCGTATGTAAGTATAATTCGAAATATCATATTCAAACATGAACACATACATTGGAACACAGCACAAGATACCAAACCATCACTGTTCACCTTGCTAACACACATCAAGTTAGGCTTCCATTTTTTTTATCTGATTCTTCCTGACAAATACATAAGAGGTCGTGTGGATAAATTGAACGAGAAACGGCAGCTGCAGCTCAGGATTGCCGACCGTCGCGCTACCGATGTCGACGATAGGATGCGAGAGAAGACAATGCCAATCCTCCGACGCCACACAGAGGTAGTCATCCACGACTTGGATGAGTACATGAGTTGTCAGAAAGCTCGCTGCACCTCAAAAGTGAGAACCAAATGGCAGAATCCAGGGGTAGCTTTTTTGTTACTTTTGTTATTGTCGTTGTCTGACTAGCCCAACAACAGTACGCCAGCCATTACCCATTGGTTGGTTCTTCCTAAAATATCTTACTTCGTACCTATTAACTAACACTGGTATGCAGGATATGGATCAGGTTGTTGATACCATCTTCTGAGAATTTCTGATCTCTTCTGCATAGTTACCAACTTATGTTGTATTTGCATTCCCTGCTGTTGATTATCAGTTGATATCCTTATGCCATCATTAACATCATTAATTAGGTCAATTTCTCAGGCGGAACCGTACTAGTAGGTTACGGTCTATCATGACCGTCTGCTCTCTCGTGGTTTTTGTCTACAGCACTCGATTTTGCACCAATTGCTTAGCTATTTCACTGAGAACATTCCTATGTATTCTACTATCATATTCCAAGTGAAACGAAGCAATTCGGTTGAGAAATGGTGGAGATCGTATTTTCGGCGTGACAGCAGCGAAAAGTCACGGATCGATGTCACCTGCCGCCAATGCCGACGTCGGACATTGAATTTGATGAGTGGGCCTGCCAGGCTGTTATGCAATTCGCGAGTTTGGTTTCGTCGACATATGAAACTTCAACGAGGCAAGCTGACGGCGTCTACTAGTGACCCCGAACATGAGTTAAGGACACTCCTCCCCGATGACTTGCAAATGGCGCACACAAGAATATTTCACGGGCTGCACAGGCACACAATCATGATGTAAGGGAACATGTTTTAGAGTCCCTGCACTACTAGTTTCATTCTACAGGTTGCATGACAAACTCTTGCAGGAACACAATGACGACCTCGTCACTATCGCTGGCGCTCTTTCACCCCCAGATTGGACAGTCATTGAACTGACTACACAAATCAAGGAGCATCTTGCGGCGAATCCGGATTGCGCTAATCAGCCAAGGCATTTAAGTTGGGAACAAATGAAACAGTTCGAGCCGCCCACAGAATCTCTGAATCTGCCCCTTCCATTTCTTATCACTTACTGCCACCATATCTCATGCATCCATCTTACACTGGCCTCAACATTGCTGCACCACATCCTCACTTCCACATTCCCTCAGTACTATTATATACTCAGCATCGATCATTGGGATTTATTGTTATACATAATTTTTAATACATACTGATAGTTTACAATTGCTCAATACCATCTTAATGACTTGATGTTGACAACGGTTGACGTCTGCCGAGCGGACTGTGAATTCGGCAAATGTGACTGTTTGTGACTATTCGTAATATTTATGTAATTCACGAAATAGCGGTGTGCAGTTACGAATAGACCGTCGCTTCTAGGGGATAATATTATCTGCTTGGACCGACTGCGGTAGCCAGCTGTCGACTTATCAATGATGCTCAAAGCGTTTCGAATTGCGTACACCTTTTCCTCCCTTTGAATCTCCTCCATCAGCAGGCCTTGAGCTTTCGGGCTACCAAGAGCCAAGTACACATATATCCAACAATTATACTCAGTTCATCACACAATTTCCAGAAATGCTGACATTCAACATCCTCGCTCTTGTGATCCTAGGATATGCGGATGCATTACGCGCTGAGAAGCATCATAGCGCGGGCTGTGACCTGTCCGGTGCAAGACTCAATGTGCCTGCTAATCAAACGCAGCTCATTGCGCCTACATACGCGCCGAGCTATATTGGTATTGGCGTCGGGACTCAAAACTACACTTGTAATACTACCCTATCCACATACACGTGAGTTCAAGTCTCGTTCCTTCAATACCATTGCTAATACCATACAGACTTGTTGGGGCTTACGGAGAAATTTTCGATAGCTCATGCTTATATGGCACTTCTTCTTTTGAGAGCGCTCCAACCGTTGCTTTTAATGTGTGGTATGCTACTACCGGTGTAACAGTCCAGCAAATCGTCACCATCCTGGGGCTCACGCACAATTCTGCCGTGCTTGGACAACAATATTATGTTCCCAACCCTGTGGGAACCGGTTTGTCTCCAAAGTGGGACTTCACATCATCGGGGGCGACAGCTGGAGATCCTAATGCCTATGTCATTGGTGCTAAAGTTGGCGATCTGCCTAGCTCGAACTCGAGCGATATCGATGACTTAATGGTAGAAGCTGTCGAGGGAGAATTAGCTAGCTTGGTTTTCAGGGTGGATACCGACGGAGGTCAGCCACCCGCACAGTGTGAAGCAGGAAATATTACTGTCAAATACACTGCTCAATATTGTGAGTACTTCCTGAGAAACCGTAGCAATTCACGACAACTGACAAGATTTCAGGGTTCTTCTCATGAAAACATCTTAGAACACAACATTCATTCTACCGTCGATAGAACCCCGGTCGTACTGCCATTTAATGCAATATTCCCTTTAACGTCATCTCAAAAGCCGTCAAAATCAAACCGCAAGGTGAACGGAGGTAGATGGTCCAATCGGGTTTTTGGAAGATATATGTCGTGGTGCAATCTTCCGAGAATGCTGCCTCGTTTGAGAACCTCGGCCTCCTTTTATGTAAACCTTTCACTTGCGATGGTGGCTGTCGGTTCTTCGCTTGCTTCCAAATTGCCTCCGTTTGAAGCGGTGCCGTCCAACAGACCTCCCAGTTCGTGTCAGGCGATCGCTGAGAGCAGCTCACAATAGTGCATTTTCATCTTGCTTCAATTGTTTGCACCGTGAGCAAATTGGTATGTGATGCCTTGTTTATATTTGTGACACTCATACATGCTCACTACGCATCAAGGACGCATGGCATTACAACCTTCTTCTTTCTTGACACAGTAAGGGAGCCACGAGCAAGCCACGGATGAGCGCAACATCATCAGGGTTAATAGTTTTCCCTGGAATGAATATAGGGCGCAGCAGGAAGCCCGCGAATATCCAACACAGGCATCGAACTCATGGTGCTTGTAAAGCCTTTGCGGTCATTTCAGGTTGATTACGATGCGTACCCGTCGCAGATACGCTCAATTATACTATGCTTGACTTCTGTGATTCGCAATGATCCGTTGATGGTTGATCGACGTCAATCCTGGTCCCAGGACTTCTGCCCCAGTCCTGAACCAGCCTTCTTCTTAGAATGAAAGAGATAACTAACTTCAAGGGGAATCAGTGGTTCGTTCCGGTGTAGAAGGAACAGATGTGTTGTCCTTGTGACCGATACACATGATATGCAATTGTGAACCGAAATTATCACTTTCATTGTTGGAAGGACGGATCATGTCCTACTCGTCGTGCCTTGCTGGCTGTACAGTACCGTGAAGGTGGTGTTGTGTACTCTAAAAACTTTGATGTCGATTTGGCATTACAAACCTGTCCGCGGACGTGTTTCGTGGTTCCCTCGACCTAGAAGGTGATCGGATCAATTGATGATGTTGACGTGTAACAAGACCCCATGAATGAGGTCTTCATTAACCTACGCTCTAACACCATCCTATGAGACGGGTACTCGAAGTACTGAACACCGACGGACTACTAAGTCTGGAGTGATTCTGTAAGGAAATATACTGTCAGTATGGAAACTTTTTGTCTGCATCAGATCGAGTCCTTTCGTGGGCCATATGCATCTTTCCTTCTGTAGGTAGCATATTGTATGATTCGGACAGTATGCAAACATTGATGATTGATGGAAGGTCAACCGGTCATGATCATGATTCGCCAGATGCATGAAGACTACAACCTTGACGTCGTGCTAACAGGTCCAATTGTAAGTTGCCCGAGACCCAACTTCTTTGCCCAGCTCCTTAACAATCCCACGCCTTCGCCTTCCACTGGGAGGGGTGAAGCGGGTTTACTACGAAGACTGTCCTTCATAACGCCAACAAAGGGGCGGTAGTATGTTCCAATGACGCCCCTACAATAGAAACCATCAAGTCCCGGTTTATTGCAGTAAATATAACACACCAAAGCATCCCTTGCAACAGCGGCATAATTACCTGATCACGAACCGTGATCCAAGCTAGTTTTCCCCAGTCAACGCGTGTGATTTGCTGTGATGAAGTGATGACTGGTATAACGTGTGTAGCAGCGGTGAATGAGTCGTCAGTGGATGATGGAGGGTCGACACCGCCTCCTCTTCCCGCTATTTCTTCCACATGAAGGCACGTCTGCACGCGGCTAAGGTATGTCTGTTCGAACCGGATATCTGGTATAGGAAGTCGTATCCGATGACCAGCTTCAAGGCCCTCATTTAGTTCGCCGTGTTTACGGCGAATATGGTCTGAAAAATCATATACGTAGTCGTGCGAGTCGGAAGGTGACGGGTATCTGAAATCCTTGTTGGTCATGGTGGGTTGCGGACTGGTACTGAGGCCTCACTGGGCTCAGGAGCGAAGGAACAAGTTTTATGTAAGTGAATGCGGCATTTTCCGATCTCGAAAGACCAATATTGGCATCAAACTCGCACTGAGTCAAACTTTCATCCATACTGCATACAGCATCATGATATGCACTTCGTTGGTGCAATCCTTTCCTGCTCCAAAGGTGATGTTGGATCAGCTTATGGAGAAACAGAGCGTAGTGGCTGGCAACCAAACGGTGTGGTTTCTTAGCGTTGGTTGTGGTTGATCGGACTTACCTCGCACCATTATCAAGGCGCAGGCGATTGACTCTAGATCCTTGTCGACTACATGCGTCTGTGATCGGATTGCATTAGGCAATTCCACTGAAGCGATGGCAGTACTTGGTTTTCGATGAGTGCTGCGAGCCATCGATCCACGCCCTTTCCGACGTTTCGAGGAAGTCGAAGTCTTGCGCATTGTTTGCACGTGTGCCCACATAAACTGCCTTGGGAACCCTATTACAGGCCCCGCCCGGCGATTGATATGTGGGGACAGGTTGCGGTTTTAGCCTCCCACTCCTGACATTCAACTTTCAGGGTATGGTAGATAACCCTACCTTTACCTCTTGAATCAGAACAGAGTGATAGTACTCTCATTTTGACTTCTCATAACGATATCATATCAATTTCCGCACTCACACTTGCTTCGCTGTCACAGAGTCCCTCCCCCCCTTTCTAGGGGTGCGCTCGTGATTGTTGGCTAACATCCGCTTGTTGAATTACCTCGTGGAAAACATGCACCTTTCTGAAATGATATAGCGCGGAGTTCGTAGCATTACCTACGTATCCCTGGTTTTTCCTCATGTACGCACTAGGCCTTTTGCTTTCCTCTATCTACTAACAGATGTTACGTGCTGAGCCGCACCCAATGCTTTCTCTTGTCATTATGCGTATACAACGCTATTTCCAACAATATTCATCCTTTACACACGTTCACCGATTTCTGAACCGCGTAATCGAGCTCCTCTTTAACCTTACTCGACGCTTTCGTCACTCATCACGGGTTCAAGATGAAGAAAAGGCATTGCCAACGACATACGAAGTTCGCTCTCTGCAGCCAATTGGCGAATACATTTGTGCTAGTCAACTGCCGCCGAGCTCGAGTCCAGATAGCAGACCAAGTGAACCATGTTCCCCATCAGACACTCCCTATGACCCACCTACGCGTATTGTAATACCCCGTCGCCCAACCAGGCAACATACATCCCATGAAGTCATGTCCAGTCCTGAACGTTTGACGGTGCCGGGTCCGCCAGAAATAAGGGAGTCCTTCCCCGACCGCACACCACCTACTCCCACTTCTGCTACGGCCACAACTCGTCCTCCCATTTCTGTGAACACCAGGTTTAATAAGAGTTTTCTGAGTGGCTACCCAGAACTTTCCCAGATTTCACCAAGCCAGCGGACGCCTATTTCACCAGATGATTTCGTTCACCGACCTACACTTTCTCGTGCAGCTACTTTCGGTGGTAGCTCGGAGGGCCCATCACTCACCATACGGAATTATCTGAGCCCCCGTCGGCATACATTGGCAGTGCCAAACTCTCCAGACCGTGAACCCATAAGCCGACCAGGCAGCGCCCAGTCAAATGTGTCTCTTGGTCGAAATTCATATCGAAAACATGATGGACAAGCCCCACGCCCTCGCTCCCCCACTCCGAGCCTCTACGAAAGCTCATCGAATATGTGTGGCCCATCTTCCGCTACCCTCGCCGCGGCTGTGGCGTCGGATGCTGATGGCTCACAGGTTCCTTTTGCTCCGCGCGCTTCATCTTCAGGCCATGCGCATTCGAGGGACACTACTGGACCACGTTTTGCTCCAATGTCAGCGAATGGAGTCAAGCGTTTTGATCGACATTCCCGAGAATTTGCTATGATGTACGCATTCTTACGAATATCACGACGCGGATACTGAAATTGAGTTAGCGATCCTTCAATATCTGACTACAAGATCAAGGCTTACCAAGTCGAATACCCCAGTCACGAGTAAAAGTTCACAATTTTGTATTGCCAATTACGACTAATATTCTCGTCGTGGTTTTAGCGGAAACCTTCCCGAAGGCTGGACGGCGCATGTACACCCGGAAGGTGCCCGCTACTTCCTACATGCACAGACAGTGAGTGGTGATTTTTCCCGCTGTGTTATAGTTACAAATCGACCCCAGAGAACATATACGGAGTCAGATGTCTGTTCACAGGAGGTATTGCACGACATCACCTACTTCTCAAATTATCTTCACGGAGAACTCCGCATCGCCATTGACACCAAGAAGATTGACGTTGACTACGACGATGTAGAACTAGTGCTTGAGCCGAAGAAAGCAGGTTGTGCGGATATCATATGCTGCTACTACTTCGTCAACCCTCCAGAGAGATGTCTGTTCTGGCTAGATGAATATGATGCAGAGGATATGCTAGGGGAATGTCGGGGGGTTACTGCTTTATCTCACAAACGTAAGTGCATTTTGTGGGCGAATATTTTGATGTTATAGTATGGAAATTTTGTAGGACTGGCAGTTCAAGCTCAATACTGGTGTGTGTCACTACCAAAGTACGTCACAGATGTTATTTTATGGTTCTTGCTGACAACCTTCATTAGTCTAGATTTCCAAAACTTAACGAACACCATTCCACAGGAAGCACTGGGAATTGTTTCCCAACCTTTGCCCAGTTGTGCACGATATATTGGACGAGCTAAAGGAACTTATGCTCCATGCCACTTGCGGTTAGCATTTGGCCACAGACGTAGCTCATCATCTGAATACATCCTCAGATCACCTCACAACCACACGATCTGCAGCAGCGTTAAGCGCCGATGAACTCAAGCAGTACTTTGAAATTGTGAAGTGGATAAAGGGTAATGCCACGCCTATGCTTCTTGTTCGTTGTGGTAATTTGGATCCCCAGTGAACTCATCTGGCGACAGAGTTCATGTAGTGGTCATCATAGGTGAGCGCGATATACCCATCTTCGATAATGCCGTTGATCAGACGAACAGGGCGACTTATGCACACCTTCTGTGAGCCTCTCAACCAAGCTAGTATCGCAAGCTCTCACTATTTTCCTCAGGTCGCAACCAGTACCTGAACTTCCACGGTCAACCATGTGCTCGGTTAAGTGTCGACCAGACAGTGCGCGGCTGGAGCTATAAGCCATCGATTTACATGACTATATTTGCTCCACTCCTATGCATGGCCCCGGTTGCTCACGTAAGGTCCCTGCACACCAGCTTTGTAGACGATCTCGCAAGTACCTCAGAGTGGAAGATATTCATCACGAAGCTGAATGGGCAACTCCAGAACCTAAACCTTCTTGTGAGTCAAATTTCGCTCTCGCGGTATCATTTTGAAGAGGATTTTTCTAGGGTACAGTGCTCCTTGGTGCCAATGTTGGTTTTCTGGCAATCCAATCAGTTGACTCAGGTGCCGGGCGTTCACCGACGCAAATAGCTAGTTACATGTCGCTGGTTCTTAGTTTCGGCTCTATTTCCCTGGGTCTGACGTTCATCACTCTGGACCTCACTGGCAGGGATCGTGGCTCTGAGGCTGTAAGTAACTGTCATTTGCGCACTTTGTGAATTCATTCATTGGGCCTTATACATCATTAGTCAAGATTTTTGCAACGGATGAATGACGGAAAACACGGCCTGGAAAAGTTGGCGATGATCTACAGTCTCCCTTACGCATTACTCATGTGGAGGTGAGTTATTTATCCCTTCTAGACGATCGCCAGCTGAGCTTGAACCCAGCATGCTCTTCTTCATTGCGGCATTCTCCTACGAATGGTGTAAACCCGGAGACGCAGTTTCTAGGTCTATCGTCGGTGCCGTACTATTTACTGTCTGCGGGCTCGTCGTCTGGTGCATATCCGTGGCATCTGATAAACGTGCGCCATGGTGGTGGGAGTCAGACCAGCCGGAAGTGGTCAGCAAGGTGACTAGCGAAGATACCAACAAGCGCCCGGATAATAAGCGTCCCAGTCTTGCTTCTCGTCTGCGCGGCTGGTTTGCTACCGCAAATAAAAGAGTTTCAGTGGCCTCTGTTCGCAGTGCACGCAGCGGACCACCACCTCATACCCGAGAGGGGACTCGGATATCCGTACCGCTCATCTCGTTTAGGCGCGCGACAGTGAGCCAGCAGAATCCGCCCAAGATCACCGTGACCCAGAGACCTGAATCAGGGGAAGCAAATGGCACGAGCCGTACTCCGGTATCAGAGGTGGGAGTGGGCTATATGGGATATATTTGAAATGGACAGGATGCGTCATTTAGAGATACTTTTCACGTTACCCATGTCACGTCGCGTTGATATTATACTTAGACTTGGCTTATGGCGCCATAATTTCCTCGAAATAACGCTGGGAGTCCGGACCAACACTTAATCAATGTTTTTTTTTTGTTGTTCAATCCAGTTTTGGCGGTTCAACTGGCCTCGATGACGGGAAAGGCATGAATGAATTCAGTTTATACTTACTACCCAATACTTGCCCACTGTCTTCTGGACCTCCCGTCTGACCATGGCATCCTAGTACATGCTCTCGCCGCAGTGACAACCTACAGGAGTAGTAGAGGGGGGGCGCTGAGGGTGGGGGGTAGGCAGAGTTGCCCGAGCCCGTTGTTACGAGGACGCCGGTTATGGTGAGTCATGTTGGAAGTGTTGATCGTGGGTTTGCGACTCGTTGGCAAAAGTTGGCCAAACTAAGACTCTTGTGCCATGTCGAGAACAACATGGTGGTAACGTGGAGTTGTTGGGCCTGAGTGAAAGGGCCTGGTGCTTTTGTAAGTTTTCTGTAAGTGCGGCATTCGGAAGCCAAGAGAGCATGCAAGGGGGGCAAGGAAAGATAAATAAGTACGGCGTGTTATATTATTGTTAAGTCGTCTCATTTTACCGCACAGGGAGGGCGCGAATCTGAGTTCACGTGACCTCGGTAGGGCTTGCCCAGAGCGATGTGTGTATACATACTTGGTATGAAGTTTCTCGGAGGTCGCCGTGACTGATCCAACCCTGGATGATGTTCTTTCCTTTCATCCTGGCAGTTGTGGCACTGCTGCTTTCTGTCCTTTACAAGCCGTTTGAATTTAACACAGATGCGCTATTGGAACAGACTGTGTCGCCCCCACGCGTCCTCCTATTAACTGCTCATCCTGACGACGAATGCTTTTTCTTTGCGCCAACAATTCTGGCGCTTCGGCGAAGTAGCTTAAGTCCTGAAATCTTCTCCTTATGCTTATCCAGCGGAAACGCTGATGGCATCGGGGAACAACGAAAGGGGGAGCTTGTGCGCAGCTTAGACATCCTCGGAGTTGAGAAGGATAACCGTTGGATTATTGAACACCCGTGCGTCATCCCGTTACATACAGTTCATAAGGGTTTGACGAGTTGCGTTAGACAGTTGCAGGATAACATAACGCAGCAGTGGGATGCAGAGATTATTGCTCAAGTCCTTCGACCATTCGTGATCGAGCACCACATCACTTCTGTTAGAGACCAAATCCACTTCCATTGGTGTAACGTGCTACTAATCGTTATTTCATGGTAGGTCTTGACTTTTGACATCAAGGGCATATCTTTGCATCCCAATCACTTTTCGCTCCCATTGGGTGTATCATACCTCATCAAATCTCTGTCATCTTCCTCACATATATCTGTGCCACGTCTCTTCAGTTTGGTCACAGTGCCGGTCCTTCCAAAATATGCCGGGCTGCCGTCTGCAATTCTTGCTCGCCTTGGCATCGTCTCTCAGACTTTTTTAGCCTTTGAGCCTACGGTGGATTCACTTCCCGTCTTTATTTCAGGGATTTCGGACTACCTCACAACTGCACGGGCCATTCTAGCGCATGACTCACAGATGGTGTGGTTTCGCTACTTGTACATGACGTTTTCGAGGTATATGTGGGTCAACGAATGGGTCGAGTTCAAGTCTTAGAATGCGTAGGGCAAGATCTACTTAATACTACCATACCAGCTGCAGGGTCTAGGTCAGAGTAATCTAGAAGACAAGTAGGCCAGAGTTCAAAATACATCATGCTGGGCTACAAACGTACTGAAGATATCGTGTTTGAAAATACTTACGTCGGATAGAAAAAGCTATCCACAGTCCTGCTATTACTATCATGATCATATAACTCACTATGCTTTCTCAATTTGTTCTTGTTTGTTGCATTTCAGATTTTCGGTTTGCCTTGTTGAGTTGCCAAACGCCTGGGCCGCCAGAGTCGAGTGCACTATGACACGTTTCAGTGCCGCCGTCAGTGACAGTAGCGATGATGAACACGATGTACATATGGTTCAGGACTTCAAGAAGTCCCCGGTGCGGTCGCCACCCAAACTATTGGAAAACCACAATACCAAAGCTGGTTCAGATGAGGACATAGGAGTTGACCAAGAATCAGACGAAGAAACCTCCGAAGAAGATAGCTCGTCGGACATGCAGGAGGACGACCTAGCCCCCGCTCGCTCAAGACCGACGCGCAATCACGTTTTGACGGCGGATTCCGATGATGAAACTGAGGACGGGTCGGAGAGTACAAGTTCGCGCTCTGCTTCGTCCAGTGAATCCGATGTGGATGTGTCGGCTCAACGGGAAGATGCTTCGGTGATACCATGGGCTAGACAAGTCGGTGTGGATGCGCAGAAGATGCACGTCATGCAGACTTCGCTATTTCGAATCCCTGAGGAGGCCGTGGCAATTAAAGCTATGAACCGTGCAACGCGACCTCAATTCAAGTTGCCGCTTACAGTCAGGCGAAAACATAGTCGCGACTCCATCGGAGATGGGCTGCGGATGGACTCACAGGAGGTCTGTCGTGTACCTTGTCTCAGCCCAAGTCTTTAAATTAATTCCATGTTTTCCAGAGGGCATCATTTGCGCATGACATAGAACCACCAGCTTACCGACCGTCTAGAAAATATGCTCGAGTGGAAATTTCGGCCTCTGCTGTGGCAGGCTGTGAAGATGGTCTGGTAGATGCTGGTTTGGCGTTTGGTCGATCCTTCCGTGTAGGCTGGGGACCAGGTGGTACTTTAGTCCACCTTGGGCGACTCTCTGCTCCGTCGAGTCAAATGTAAGCTTTCGTACATCTTCTTGCAATAATAATGTTCAGCTGTGGACGGTGTATTATGACAGTGACACTTCTGCGAATTCTTCAGTTATCACGAAGACAATCATACCGCTCTTCGCACGTTCTCATAAAGAGGCCAACATTCGACTTTCACGTCTGCTGCAACACCACTTGAGCAAAACACCAATTGTTAAAGACGAAAGTGGAATCCCATTCGCCGATCCAACGGCCGAACTTGATTTTTCTTCTTTTGTGTCCCTGTATCCTTCCTCCGACCACTCCGATGAACAGTCTCTTTTCCGACTTGGTCGCGCGTTATTTGACAGCATCGATTTACACCTCGCACCGGAAATGACTGTTGACGTGCGCAATCGGATATCTGCAGTGCGCCGGAAGGCTGCACTGTCAGATTGGCTTGAGGAAGCTATCGGCTATCTCGTAGATGCTGATCTCAAGAAACATTCCTCTGGCGACTCTGCTGCATGCATTTACACTCTCCTTACAGGCAACCAAGTAGAAAAGGCTTGCGAAGCAGCCATGGACAACGGCTACATCAAACTTGCAACTCTGATATCACAGGCTTCGGGCGACTTCGAGTTCAGGGAGGACTTGATGGAACAAATTCAGCTTTGGCGGGAACAGCGGATAGACGTGCACATCGGGGAGAGCACACGCAAAATTTACGCCTTACTCGCTGGAATACTAGATGTTGTGGAAGGCTCAAAAGCCAGTAGTCTAGAGCATTGTCCGGACGTTGACCCTATCAAGGGTCTGGACTGGAAGCGCACATTCGGTTTACATATGTGGTTCTCTGAGCCGATGGACGCACCAATATCACAGGTCTTCGAGTCCTACAACCGTTCACGACAAGAATCGCCTTCCCGTGTCGCCCCTCCACTCCCATCATACCTCGAGCACTCATCAGAACCGTTGCCATTCAATGTTCCTACCCCATCGCCTTCCGACGCTCTCTTTTCTTTAATTCGCCTACATGCAGATCCTGCATGCTCATTATCACAGGCCCTCTCCCCACTCTCATTCGGGCCTTCACCAGGCGATTACTCACTCTCGTGGCATTTGTATATCATCTTATCACGGTGTATGCGTATCCGTGATTTCGCCGATCGTGCAGATCCGGGAAATCGCAAGGACGCCATGGATGATGATAATGAACAAGATCAACATGAAGGCCATAGTCCAAGTGCTGACCTGCTTGCGAGCAGCTATGCACATCAACTGGAGCAGCTTGGCATGCTCCAGGAGGCTGTTTTTGTACTTTTACACATTGAAGGATCTGCAGGGTGAGAACACGTTGTCAATCTGTATGTCTTGGCTACTCACGGTGATGGCAGTCGTGAAAAGGCGATAAAAGACCTGCTTCACCGCTCTGCCGACAAACTGGACGAGTGGATGTGTAGCGGCATTCTTGGAAGCCTCAAGATCCCTGTGGCTTGGGTGAATGAAGCAAGGGTCAGCATTTTATTCTTCTCCTTACTCAAGCACTCACCCTTTCGCGTAGGCTGTGTATGCTATTTATGAAGGCAAAGTTTTCGAAGCCTACCAATTGTACTTGAATGCAGGATTGTATCAGCAGGCTCATGACCTTGCTGTTGTTGAGCTTGCACCTGAAGCAGTCATTCGACAAGATCTTGATCTGCTTGTATCATTATTTGAAAGAATTGCCAATCAGACTGTCGATGGATGGCATACTCGGGGCAAGGTAACGTCATGTCGTTTTCCGCTCGACCCATTTATCTGAAACTTGGAAACTTGTTGCCTGACTAGGTCTATATGGACTATGCTCATGCCATGACACGCATTCCCGAGCTGCACGCTTCGCTGACAGAGTCAGCAGTGCCAGACACAGTTGAGGAGCAGGAGTTGGATAATTTTACCCGTACTGTGCCCCGCCTTATCAACGTTTTGCCCGATGTGTTGTCCAATCCATCCGACCCACGACACAAAGTTGCACTAGCCGAGATGATTTCTGGCCTGACAGCCGTGCTTGATATAGTGAGACCCTTGGCACTGGTGTGTCTCTTCTTTTTTTGTTCTGCTGACTAGGAAGCTGAACATCGATCCTTGTCGCAGTCGCAGTCACAAATAAAGTTGACCGCAATCGACGAGGCAACCAAGCTACGCCACATACAAACAACATTCTATGAAAAATATATGAGGTCAATTCAGGCCTCGTGATTCCTGTTTTGCCGAAAGACTGCTTTTTCGCAGTTTATCGTTGTATTTAACTGTTGTGAATACCTTTCCTTCCCGTATTGTATCTATGCATTGATTGAAGTGGGGACCTGCTCGTTCATAATATTCGTGTGATTCTGGTTCAAATCTGTTTGAATTTCGTTCACTGAAAGAGCGCGCTTAAGGACCTGTTTTGGGTTGACTTCGGAGTCCGTCTCTTCCGTTAAATAATGCTGTCCCTAGCCATAGAGACTCACCATGATACGGACTTACGTATCAGGTGAATCAAATACTTAATGTCCCTGAAAAATAGTATCGCCATAAACTCAATCTCTATCCGATCATATGCGAACTGAGCCGGGAACAACTTCCAAAAGGTTCGGAGTCACGACTTGCGCGTACCAGTGGCCACTCTACTCTGGCTAACCTTCTACCAGCCTAGTTTGTGCCGTTACACGCCTATGAATGGCCCCAGCCGGATCGCAATACGCATGACGTGTCGAATTTAATCTGTTCATACAAGTTAGTTCCGAAACTTCACAGAGCTTTCAAATGCGGGTTTCGTAATTCAGTCCCTTTGTCTTTGAAATCATACAAAGCAGTGTCGGTAGTCTTGCGGCCTCCACTTGACATGCACGAGGGTGTAGGAGTGCCTCCGAGTCTCATAGCAGGGCTCCGTGGTCACGGTCAATTTGAATGACCACAAGGCACTCACTCGGATCTTGAAACAAGTATTAACCAGTGCTAAATACCACAATTGCTTGCTCTAACTGTTTGTTTGTGGTGATGCTATTATCAGATTACTGAATTTTGAATTTTATATTTGGCCATCTACGCTATTGGTGGGCTAGGTCACGGCCAATAACGCGATGACGGAGAGGTTCGCCGTGCACCGGAAGGAGCTGCGCGGAATGACTACTGCGCTGAACCCCCTTCTGGAGTACCGGGAGGAGTCGTATGATTCTGTTTCATATAGGAGCTGTCACACCTCAGTACTAAATCGATTCCGACTACAATTGAGCTGGTCACCAGTGCAAGTCGATTCAATAGGAATAAACATTAATTTATGGATGCTCTAAATAATAAATACCAGCCATCTATACGACATCTATGTTTGTCCATGTGCCATGCAGTCTAAAACACCGTTTCAGTCTATGTTCTTCCCGCACTGCAATAGAATTGTGGCCAGCACGCCAAGCTCCAAGAGCCCAAGCTGTATCGCATGGGGCGTCAATTCAAGTGTCACAACATCGTGTATCTTCGATACTCGGGCGAGTACGTCATACGAGCCCGGAATAGATAGCTAGTCGGCAGCATAGCACCCGGATCAGCTATGGTTGCGCGGTGGATAATATCCAACGTACCTGCAGAAATCTGTCATGTGGTCTCCAGGAGTAGCCAACGCCGTTGTGGACCATGAATCGATTACTACCGGATTTTACATGAATAAGGAACCCCTGCATTCAAAAATTAAATTAAATTAAACGCACCTCCTGTCCGTCGAGAGTCTAAGCCAGTGGCCCATGGGCTGTTTTGCGACCAGAGAACGCACCTCGACTGTGGGGTGGTCCCGCCACTCCAACAGCGCGATATTCGAGCCCTGTGCATCCTTCAGCATGGTGTGGCCGCCCCCGTCTGTTACGACACGGAAATACGTCTCATTGCGCGGTCCGACCACCATGCAGTTCAAGATTGTAGGGCTCAACGATGTGAACTTGAGTGTAATCGCGCCCGGAAGCGTTGATGGTACAGAGGGGTAGGGGAGGGCGCCGAAGATGGACGGCGGGGGGACGCTGGAATCCCAGGTCGACTGACCGTTTCCTGCGTTCCATGCATCTTGCGCTGTGAATGGGTTGCTTCCGTACATGGCTGCAGACGTGAACAGGGAAACGGTTGAGTGAATGAAGAACTTGTGTGTTGACAGCTTGAAGCAGCTCCATTCTTGATATACGATCCAACGCATGAATGCGATGCATGAGAGGGGCATGACACACTCACTGCAATGTACTAATTCGCATTACACAACTGAACGCACTGGTGGACCAGCAACAGAATGGAATGTCACATGGAAAATAATGCCAAGGTAGAAGTGTGTCAGCATACTATGCAAATCTGGGAGAGAAAATTCCACAACCTGCCTGGTGTGACCACAAGTCAGTTATGGCACACCGCGGTGACATCTGACATGGCTACGAAGGATGTGCATGTGCAGAGGTGCCGAGCATTGAGGCGCTATATGCAGTACATACTGTCATCATTGGTCGGGAGTTGCATGATATGCAGTGCTGGACGTAGTAAGGTCAAGGCACGCCGACTCACCTAGGCGCGCACACCGTAGTTAACGGACAATATATTCTTGCGACTCAAAGTCGGCTGCCCTGTAGCAAGCGTTTTAAATATCCGCGTGTAGTTGGAAGTTTGAGAAATAGCATCCGTACCTCGTCGGGAAGGCATCAAAACATTATCAATATTAAGACTACAACAACATTCCCAAACACGTCTCATCCAGAAGCGTTTCAAGTTGGTAGTTGCAACGTTGAACGTTGACTCGGAACGTTCAGCGCTACTCCCGTCCATAGTGATGATGTCCTACTAACCATTCGCAATCAGAGTTTGAAGGAGGTCGTTAATAATGACATTCCTCACTGACCACTGTTGGTACCCTTGAAGCCGTTGCAAGACAACAATTTAATTTTAAAGTTGGACTTATTAATGGCCAGTGCAGCTCAACAAATTGCCAAGCTGAGCACCACGCCACGAGTCTCACGACAATGACGGCTCTTATGATAACTGGTGAAAATAACTTGCATGCAGTAAACCGCAGTCAACTCGAGGGCGGAAGAACAACTTGACATGAACATGCAGAGCAGTATCAGACTGAGACGGATTCCTGGACGATTCATCGTTCATTTGATACAAACAAGCGAAAGGGGGGATACTAAAAACATAGACATGCAATGATGTACAACGGATGTTGATGCACTTTCATACAGCCGACCAATACAACTCATGTGTACCGCTTAGAGAAGTAAATGGACACTGTACTACGTGGCATACCTGCAATAAATAGATGAGATGAGATCATATTGAATATTGTTGATACATACTTCCTTGTCCACTCCCGAGCTGTTGCTTCGTAGCGGGTACGATCAGTCTTATACAGATGGGCGATATCGTGCACCAGAGGATCATCGGGATTGGGATCCGTCAGCATCGAACAAATCGAAAGTAACACTGCATGAAGCACGATATAGGCCACAATAATGAGGATATAGCATACTTGCATACCTTTTGATATAGTCAACGCTGGCGACCACTGATCCCTCAAAATATCCAGACAAATGGATCCATTGGCATTGATGTTAGGGTGATAGATCTTCGTCCTAAAGCTGACTTTGGGTGGCTTGAAGGGGTAATCGGTTGGGAACGTAATTGTTAGGAAGAAGACCCCGCCCGAGTACGGTGAGTCGGTCTATCACAAATGCCACGAGCGCTAGATCAGCAATAATACCGAGATTAAGAGTAAGATGTCATACAGGGCCCATGATTGTTGCTTGCCATGAGAACATGTTGTCGCCTACAGGACCTGCGCTGCAGGATGAGGGTGGGTCACGTCCGAGGTCAATCAATTCCTGTGCGCCACATGTCAGAATTGAGCGCGAGCATCGCCACAGGGACACAAGTAGCAACACACGGACCTTGTTGATGCGCTTCAAGGCCATGGCAGCGAGTTGTTATACAAGATTCGAAACTGCAGCAACAAGCCAGAACGAATCGCCGAGAGATCGACCAGAATCGCACACGATCAGAGGATATGATTAGAGCATGGGTATAGACGCGGGAAGATTGGCAACGATATCAAGAGAATGAGTATGAACAGGGCATGAATAGTGAGAAAGATGAATTGCCCGTGAAAACTAGGAGAGGACTTACAGATGAGTTTGTATGACGATGAGCGGGAATGCGGTGGTGGTAAAGGGCAAGTAACAAGACCAAGAGATTGTGGCTATTTATGATGTTTGTATCCTGTTTGGTCCGGTCGCTGACAAAAGCAGCGCGTATCTTTCGAGAACCTGGAATCTCCGAGTCTCTGGCACAATTCTATGATAACCGTTTAACGGATTAAACCCCCGGCCGGGCCCCAAGTTCCGTTATTGTCGTGTTAATCCAACGAGTATGCCAGACACAGTCGATCTGGAGCGGGAAAAGACCTACAAAGTGAGCATGTGAATATTAATAGAGTCATAGGTAGTTGCTGTGTAGGCTATATACAGTCAACTACTCCAGCGAGGTGGCCCCAGAGCGTCCAACTCCCTGACTGCATTCTGACTCCAGCTCAGCTGCCGGTGCTTTCAGACCTCGGGCAACGTTCTATGCTGCCTCGACAGCGGTCAGCGGTCGAGTAAATTTGAAATGGGCGCTCACTACCCTCAACCCTGACTCACAGACCAGGTACTCGACCAGATAACACCCAACTGGCCTCAATTTGATATTTTAAATACAATTTCAAGATCGCTTGATGTTATTAAATATACAATGTATCCAAGTCCCCTGTGATAACGCCTGAACAAATGGAAAAGCTAACATACTTACCAATCCCCCACAATCTCATCACTCCTCGTCTTCATCATCACTGATGACCAACACCGTCTCCTCGCACGAAGGCCAAGAAAATCTAGTCGTCACAGCCGGAGTCTTACTCGGCACACCCACCGAATCCATCTCCATCAATCTGCATCGCAGCTCAGCTCGACATTGTCCCTAATGTTCAAACTTCACATACCTGCTCCACTCACGAACAGCGCACATGATATTTTCTTTCTCTTCCTTGCTCTGCGCCTGGCTGAGCTCCGCAATAAGCTCCTTGCTTCGTGTAATGTACTGTTCAAGCTTCTGCTGCTTCTGAAACATCTCCTGTCGTGTATTCAAGGGCGCCGCGGGTTTGAGCGGCGTCGGTTTGATGCTTTCTATTGTCTCAGAAATAAACGTGACAGCAAGTTCTTCCAGGTTCCTACTCAAAAATCAGTGTCGATAAAATTCTTAAAAAAAGGCAGAACAAACGTTGCTGACGAGACGGTGGAACTGGGTTGCGCAATGGAAACTTCACCGTTGACAGCAGATGGCGCAGGGGGGAGTGTTGCAGGACCAGTAGACATGGGAGAGGTAGTTGCGCCACGAGCATTCGCCTTGTTCTGCTTACTTTCATGAACGAGCCTTCGCAAGTTCATTTCATATGCGATCTTGTCCGCCGATGGTTCGTGTGCCGACGGTTCGTTTGGCAAGGGTACTGGTAGTCGTGAGGGGAAACAGGAGTCGGTGGAAGTACATGCGAGAGAATTGACCATGTTGAAATTTTCTATATTTTGTGTGAATGCACTAGATTCAATATTTTCTTCGAACTCCTTTTGGGGTGCGAGTGAAATGACCTTGGCTGAGTGCGAATGTTCTGCTGATTCGTCTGCAGGTGTTTCTGTAGACAAGAGAGACGATGATAGGTTAGAATGTAAAGTGGAATTGGAATAGATGGGTTGCTGGTCGAAAGATATTGACGAGGAGTTCGTTAAAACTTCTGCAGGTTTTCCGTCGTGTTGTGCGGCCTCCGAATTCAACGCAGGAAGTGGACCATTGTCCGCTGAAATAAGAGCCACAGCACAATCCAAGTCCACATCCGTAGACCTAGGAGGGTCCACCTTTGCACTTTTTTCTCCACAGATTTCACTTGCCGATAGCAAATCGCCGGGCATGCCGCTCGTCACTATTGGCGAGGACATTTCCACATCTTCCCCTCGGTCGTCGTGAGATATGACGAGCTGAGTGGAGTGTGGCCGTGAAGATGCAATGGACAAATGATCCTCGTCATCACCCCCTTGAATAAAATGACCAAACCCAACACCATCCTGCGAGCCACTAGACACCTCAAAACACACGGAAAAATCATCGAGCGAGAGCCGACGTCCACGAGGGGCTGGTACATCGATGGATGCCTCTTCCCGCTCAGTGGATGGTACGCGCCCTTGTTCGTCGACAATGGTATCTTCACTCGCTGCAACTTGTACGCCACTCGAACCTGCCTGAGGATTCGGCTCAACCAGCTGCTTCCGCTGCAGCTTCTTCTTTTGCTTCTTGCTCAACTGAACAATCGGCTCGTTTATCTTTCTGCTTCCATCCTCCACTTCGCCCTCCTCGATCTCGCCAACGCCAGCGTTAGAGCCCACCCCCGTAACCCTATACCACCATGCCCGAATCGCATGTTTCCCCTTCCCCTTCAGCTGCTTACTCTGAAATGCCTTCCGTGCAGACGCAGAATCCACAAATTCCACTAGTGACTTCCCATTCTTCGTATCCACATCGACGCACACGGGCTCTGCTTCCCCTGCATTCACCGCCCACTTGTGCACCCACGACGGGTTACGGAAGCGCGTTGGGATGCTGTCTAGCACGAGTGTACATGAAGGGTTCGGCTGCGAGGCGAGGTGCTTCGCATACGTCCCTGTCTTACTGTTTGGGTCTGCCTCCGGTGCATGTCCGATATGGAGGAGCTTGGGCTTCCGCATCCGCTCTGCGAGCAACTTCCTAGAGGAAGGCGGTTCAGGCGTTGAAGTGTCCGAGCGATCATGGTCGTGGTCAGGATCGGTGGCCAATATAGCTTGATATCCGTTGGACTGGCTGCTACCAGCAGTAGTCGTGGATACATCAGTAACCACAGGAGCAAGCCCACTGGACGATGTCGGACCTGTAGCACTTCCAGCTGCCGCAGCGTATGGGTCGGCAGAAGCAGGTGCTGATGCTGGTGCATATCCAGCAGGAGGAGTCGGGACGGGTACGTATGTATATGCTCCCGGGTTCGAATAGTCAGGATATGCTATGAAATAGGTGGGTGGAGGTGGTGCAACAGTCACCATCCCATACTGCGTGTGCCACGGCTCGGATGGTTCTGCCCCAGTATAATATGAAACCGGCGCGCCTGGAAATGCAGGGTTGTATATGGCGCCTTGCGGTTGTTGTTGCTGCATTTGCGGAAACGCAGATTGTGGGGCAGGCAGTATGGCTGTGGTCTGCCCGTCAGGGTAACTGTTAACTGGCTGTGTTTGTATCTGAGGATACCCAGGCTGCGGTATAGGAGATGCAATAGCGGAAGGCCCAGCATATCCATTGCTTGTAAGTTGCTGCTGCTGCATGGCACGTGGTGCAGTCGGCGGAGACCGTGGTGCAATGGGTGGAGTTTTAGGAGCCAGTGTCGGGGACCGAGCTTGAGCTTGAGAGGCGAGCCAGCTACGAGGTCCTTTAGGGGGAGGCGCAGCAGGCAATGGAGGACTATATGGAATATTTGACCTAGGACCTTGAGGAAGTGAAGGCACCCGCACCGGGCTTGGTGATGGCTTCGGAGGCGATGGGGCGGTAAGGCGTTCCCGTTCTTTGCCTCTCCTACTTGAGGCGAGCGCTGCCCAAGGCCCTTGGCTGATATTCGCGGGGCCAGTCGGAGCAGCGAGCGATTTGGGTTGCAATGGGCAATTTTGCTGGGACCTAAAACCTCGCTGAGGAGCTCCAAACGTATGCTGTTCCTTTCTCCGTTTCTTGTTTAGCTTACCATCACCTTTCCTCGGTGACCAGCCAGTTGCGTAAAGCTGGGATCGCTGAAACCCAATACCGCTGTCCACCCGTTTGCGTTTCTGAGCAACCTCAAGGCACACAGGCTCCACTCGACCTAGAGCGAAGACCATCTGGGTGAGTGGAGGACACGCGCTACAGCGGCACTTACCGTCGAGGCCGCGTCCTAGACCGCGGCCTGGGCAATAGCCCATGTGCAGGGCCATAGCGTAACCCTTGCTCGCCGTGGAAAACTCCTCTGAATTACCATCTGGTGGAGTGCGCAGCTGATCATTCTGTTCACTGTCAACAGAATCCGAATCAACTCGCAGCTGGAGGTCTATCATAGCTTCGTCCTCATCGTCTGAGATGACGATGGGAGAACTGATAGAACCAACACCTTGAGCGACCATGGTACGGTCGGTGGCCTGAGGGGTAGATGAATTGTTTGATGGTCGGAAACCAAGATGTATCGAACTAAGAAACGTTCTGAGAGTCGATCTCATGGGTTCGTTTAAAGTCCGCTACAGTGAAGGATGCACAAGCTCGATGGCGAGCTCACAAAATGCAGATAACATGCAAGAAACACGTTGTTTGGAATTTTACAATTACTACAGTCAGCCGCAAGAAGGACCTCCGAAAACGTGATTTCCATTCGGATTACAGTAACTGATCGGCTTAAGGCTCCGTCAGACAGCCGCAAGGCAGCTAAAAATGCGCAAGGATGCAACAGTGCTGTGCAAGTCGAACCAGCGACCAAGGGTATTTCAATACACTACTTGTGCTTGCCTTCCCCACCTTGGTCTCTTTGTATCAGCCCCACTCCTACAATCACGCCGTCTGCGAGAACATCAGCCACTTTACGGCCTTCTTTGGCATGGTGCTCTGCTTGTTTAATAAATTCGGCCTTCACAGCCTTAGCGTGCGCAATCTGCACAAATAGGACATGAATTTAAATACGGCAGATAGCAGGAATACTCACCTCTTTCGTGTGGTGAAGGCACTCTAGGTAATCATCCGCCTGCAGACGGCATTGACTAGGCACGTCAGCTTCAGCATAGCACTGTGAACATCAACTGTAAGAAGTCAATTTCTAGAACGGGTATTCTCGGTTATTACTTTCGAGAATTCTTGCCAGTAGGCAAAACACCGCGAGCGGCCTAGACACGACATTATTCAGCATTGAACATGACCAGGAGTAAATAGTCGCACCTCCAGTGTAACTGAAACCTGACTGTGTGCAAATAAAACGTTAGTGAAAAAGCTTGTCATTACCAGACAGACACATACCGCCATCGAACTTGGGGAGGAGAAACGAGCGTGACGCGAATGGATCCCGGGTCACGGTCACAAGCACTAATATGAAGACGTGACAGAAGTCACAAACCTTCATTATTGCACCGCCACACTCCGTACTGAAACACCCTCTTTGTCTCAATCCATACAACAACGCCAAGAGAAATGGCTGATCAAGCAGAACTTGTCTTTGTCAGGAACTTTGTAAAAGTCATTGGAGCCCAGCCCATCGTGTACAGTGACGACTACAATCAACCTCCACAGAATTCACTAAAGAAAGTCCCTATCTTACCAGTGCGTGTTGGACTCGAGGATCGTGTTTCATGGCATGTTCTTACGCGAAATTGGTTTCAGGTTGAGCTCCCCCCTGTTCCAGAACGTAAAGGAGAACCTTCTGCACCGCCAGGTAGATGTCATCTCCACGTTATCACTGATGGTCACCTCACCAGAGATCGCTAGCCGCATCAATCAGTATTACGTTCAAGTCAACAAAGCCTCCGCAGTCGTTCACGCTTGCTGTGCAGCCAACAGATACTATATCCGAAGTTAAAGCCTTGCTTGCTTCTCAACCGAACGCACCGCCCGCAGAAGCACAGCGGCTTTTACTCAAAGGAAAGGCACTTGCTGACGCAAAGCTCCTTAAGGAATACGGTGTGAAAGAAGGAGACACTATAAATTTAATGCTTAAACCCGGGTTTGAGTGGGATCCTACTAAATCTCCATCCCCGTCCAACACTTCACCAGTAAAGATGAAATATTCCAATCTTCCCGAAATACAGACACCGCAACCGAAACTGGCAACAGGTCATAAGCATACACGCACGCCCTCCATCGTATTGTCGCCATCACCATCAATCGTGTCTCTCGAGCCCGAGGTCAAACCTCACGACATTGATCTGACTCTTGACACGTCACTGTTACCCACCGCTTCAATATCGCGCGCAGCGCGGTCAAGTTATCAGACTGTTATCTCCGAGCCACCATTTTGGGATCGCCTGTACTCTTACTTGAGGTGAGTAAATGATTGTGTTATGCGCAGTTCGTACCTAAACATATACGATCAGAACGGAATTCAGTAACGATAGTGATGCACTCATCGCTTTTGAGGACTTCCTCCGGGCAAGCAAGGGAGGGCTGACAGCCAGTGAAATCGCGAAAATCCGTGATCATGTAGGCGTTGTCGGAATGGCGGGCACGTAGAGTAATGAGCATCTCTCGAAAAGTTAGTTGGGCTTCCACATTGCACACTTGTCTTCATGATTCGCCTCTGTCGCGGCTTACCATAAATGCTAGCTGGAATTCACGCATCGATGGAAACATGCCAACAAATTACCAGAAAAGGTAATTTTCCGTGACCTATTGATTTGTCTCAACAATATCTATGAATATTCCTCCGGAGTGCTGTTCTGGCTTCGCCCTTGTAGGCCGTTGAACAAGAATAATTGTGTTCCATGGACTTGTAGAACGTGAACTTCCCGCCCGTATGATAGTGATTGCCTTTCAAAAGTCTGCCCGCCCGCAGCTTCAGCGCGCTGCGTAAGTACGTTCATGTCCGAGTCGCGCCCAGGATGATTTAAAGCCGCCAACCTGCATATTATACCTGTGTTCACAGATGTATGCTCATCATGATTTGATACATATGTTCATGTGTATAAATTTCCGTGCTGCGGATACATAGCGTGTCAGTGATTACGGGATAATGGTGATGTCATTACGCTGAGTGACAAATCCATGATGTCGTGATTATATAATCCAGCCGCGCCAAGGCTCGTGATGTAGACTCGTGACCAGTCCGAGACGATCATGAGGCAACTTTCCATGTATGGCTCTAGGCTTTTGATGCTTACTAGCCACTCCAAACCCCTGACTACGGTATCTTCTTCCCTACCATCATCTCATTCATTGCTCCACCGCATACGAACAATGACCTCTACGAAAGACGTATCGGGCCAGAGTGACATCGGTAAACTGAGGACAGACTCAGACGGCTCCTTCAAAAGAGCTCCATCAAGCTTCAGGAACTTTATCAGTAACGATGGTAAATTCCAGCCGGAGAAAGGTAAATCACGAAAACATATTTATTTTGTTGACAAGCTCAGTTGATTTACAGGAAGATACCATCTCTATATATCTTATGCATGCCGTCAGTGATAGGATTGATGCAGTCTCATTTTGACTGAACATTCCTCAGCTTGGGCTACGAGAACTCTTATCACTCGGAAACTGAAAGGACTCGAAGATTTCATTCGTCAGTTCCAACCAGTTTTGTGCACTTCACGAGTTTATGCCACCTTTTTGCAGCTTTTTCTGCGGTGTCCCCTCACATGGGTGCGCAAGGCTGGCCATTCAAGAATGCAGATCCGAGTTGGGAGGATGCAGATAACGACCCAGAACACCCAAATTTCCAGCATGTCAAAGATCTTTACTTACTCGCTGATCAGAACTATGGTGGAAGGTATGTCTATTCCCCTCCCGTTTGTCACTGCTTGTTACATCGTAATCAGATTTACGGTCCCGGTGCTGTGGGACAAGAAGCTCAACACTGTTGTCAACAATGAAAGCTCTGAAATCATTCGTATATTCAATACCGCATTCAATCACTTGCTTCCTGCTGATAAAGCGGCGATTGATATCTATCCTGAAGCACACCGCCAGGAGATCGATAGTATCAATGAGTGGGTGTATGACACCGTGAACAGTGCGTCTGAGTCTGTGGGTGGAGCTTGTCTTGATGACATCGTGCACTGCAGATGGCGTGTACAAATCTGGGTTTGCACAATCCCAATCTGCGTATGAGAACGCTGTTTATGCCCTATTCAAATCCCTCGACCGAGTCGAGGCGATACTCAAAGGAAAGGATTACCTCGTAGGCAACACCCTCACCGAAGCGGATATCAGGCTATTCGTTACCACCGTACGTTCGATCTTAAACGCCCGTTCTGAAACTTACTGCTCCGTTTCAGACTCGCTTTGATCCCGTGTACGTAGGCCACTTCAAATGCAACCTGCGCGACATCCGTCACGGGTACCCTAACATTAACCTGTGAGGTGTTCTCCATCTTCTTAGGATGTTTGACAGTCTCATTTTCCACAGTTGGATGAGGAAGTTGTACTGGAACAACGATGCCTTCAAGTCGAGCACCAAGTTCGATCACATCAAAGAGCATTACTACTGGTCCCAGACAATGGTGCGTTATGCTGTGGGCTCTCAAGCGCACTCATACTTACACACAGCAGGTCAACCCCTCCAGGGTAGTTGCCGTTGGCCCAGTCCCAGACATCGAGCCTCTGTAAAGTTTTTATTGTAACTGTAGTTCTAAAGAAAGATTCCATCTAGCACACGACACAGACGACAAAGTTCATGTATCCCAAGAGTATCCCGAAATCGACCGTATGTATTCTACATTTTTGGTTCGCCAATATGAAGCGATAGACGATAAGTAAGGCAAGAGAATAAGAAATGTGAGGCACAACTGACATAGCTAGTCCAAGCTTTCAATCAGCATGATTATAGTAAAGTGTCAATGGGCAAATGTTCTAAAAAGTCACAATGACGCCCATAGAGAACCCTATCACAATTGTCGAAACAACGATAGCCAAGCGTTGACAGCCTGCAGGGGGCGCGGTCAGTAGAGCAGCCGAAGAACCCGTCGAGTTTGGCGCGCCGGAGGACGATCCAGATTTGAAGGCACCCTGTGCAAAAAGAGGACATTGTTGTGAGCCATTCTGACCACCTAATACGGATGATTGTGATGTAGTGGAAGATGTAAGGGTAGGTGCGGAAGAGGAGAAAGTGGTGGAGGAGATGGAGGAGGAGGAAGAGGAAGGAGGAGGAGAGGGAGAATTTATAGATGAGGAAGTTTGAAGAGACGAAGTTTGGAGGGATGGAGTTTGAAGAGACGAAGAAATCGTTGGAAAAAACAAAGAAGAATTCGAAAGAGAGTATGAGTGTGCACTTGCAGAACTCAACGAAGGACTTGAATGCGAGTAAAGCGACGAAGAACGCGATAAAAGCGTGGAACTTGAAATATCCGGTGAAATTGAAGTGAGCGTCAGAGAGGCTGGCACATCTGAATATGTGCTAATCGTGACAGAAGAAGTACAAAAATCACTCAAGCACGAGTGATGATGAAAGTGGGAAGTGTGATGAGTACCCACAGTTGCTGTTGCTGTTGCTGTGCTGGCTTTGGATGTGATTCCTCCGGTCAAAACGCCCTGGCCGTTACTGATTGTGCTGTAGAAAGTGCAGCTGGAAGAAGAGGGTATGGGATGCGCAGATGGTGTGACAGGCTCCCCTTGTTGAAACGTGGACGTCCCATAGACACCCATAGGCTTCGTAATTTAATGCTCAGCTGGACAAATGTGCATGAGATGGGATTGAGACTAACCTCAGCTGAGTCACCCAAGCACTGCTCAAACACTCCCGGAGAATAATTCGCAGGCATATTCCACTCGCACCCCATAACATCATAAATATGCTGACACATTGTCGGTGCATTTACCGCAGGCTTGCAAGCGCGGAAGCAGAATTGATCATCTGCCACAAAATTCTGGGTGTGCAAAGAACTTAATTAGGACGCCGTGGCAGTCTTTCCGAGCAATCAGTAAATTACCGTCCACTCGTGAATTTGCTCCAACGTGCCGAATGCGCTAGAGAACACAAGACCGCCGATAGGATTGCCGTTACCATCTGCACCATGAGGGTCAAGCTCGCCGCCACTGTCGCCGGCAGGAATGTTGATGTTTGTAAGATTGCCGACCCCTGAGGTCACGTTGGAGTTGTGGATCTAGTTTGTACTATAAATGGTACTCACCTGTGACCTGAACGTAGTCTGGAGTGACCACGACGTGCGCACCAGTGATGGCACCGTCTGGGATCAGTCGTGTTCCGTACCCGCTCTGAGAGAAAATTACTACGTCACTTAGGAGGCTGAATATAGTGGCAAATCACCTGCATGCACCATGCTACTTCGATTTGCTGTAAAGGTTACAGGTTCTTTCTTCGCGGTCACTGGACAAAGAAGTGAAGGCATGTACCTCGGTGTTCCCGATGACCGAGTCAGGGCCTGGCTGAGGAGGTCCCCAGATACACCAATCCTGAACAGTGTTGACTTGCGATATGCTAAGTCAAGGTTAAGGATGCTTATCGGCGATTGGTGGCGCACCATAAGCATTCTGGCACTCGGACGTCTGACTGTAGCCAGAGGTGCAGTTGTTGTAACCTGCCTGCCCCTGCTCGCTTTGATAGGGAGCGTTTGAAGGCAAATAAGTTGCCGAATAAGTAGGACTTTGAGCATAGCCTGACAGGACCAAAGACAGTGCCACGAATGAAACAGAATGAAGCATGGGGGACGACACTCCTACGAACAAATGTTGATATGCGGAAGAGAAGGGAAAGGGAGAAATTTTGGGAGTGTTGTCCTGCAGGCACGGTCATAAAACGCCTGCATTTCACCTATACCGTAACTGCGCAGGGGCATCTTTGAAGTGCATCACGTTTAGGCGTGTTCTTTACATGACGTGGGACAGGCGAAGCACGTACATGACCGAGTGACATGATGAACATTGTGACCTTTGACGTTGCCCAATCAAGTTCAACCTTGAATTAGTCATTATCTGGCGCGCAGCGAGCTAGATAAAAAGATTGCTGTTGAGCACTATCATTGAAGGCGCTCAACCGTCAAAGAAAGGACCCGGATCGACTCGGTCGACGTCGATGGGTAGGAACACAAATGGTTCCACGTTCGATTTCTTGCACTGACATATATTTTCTTGGCCTAACGTTGTGCAGGGCCCAGGCTGTGAACGTTCTTCTAGTATATACCACTTTAGGCTAGTAGCATCGTACCCATGGCTTGATTTTTTACTCGGGAATATCCTTGAGGCGAGCCTGAGGAGTACAACTAGGTTGGAGGTGATGTAACGAGTGACAGTGGCAGGAAACCAGAAAGAGTTGCTAGAAATTGGATTCTCGGCGCTAACTTGAAGTTTATGACTGGAACGGCGTGGAAGCGCTCCTGCAGTAGATCTATATTCTTCCGGTCGGACGTTGGCGTTGATGTTCGCATGAGAACTAGAAGTAGCCTGAGCGCAACCCATTTTCAAATGCGGTCACGCCGATTATCAGTACTGACAGTGAGTCGGCAGCATCCGTTGGACAGATTTACTATTGGTTACCACTAAGTACATCAACACCACATAGTCACATTGGCCGATTTCGCAGTCCGCTGCACCCTGGTTACTCCGAGTAGACGAGATAGTACGAACTGGTTAGGCAGTATATGATTGCCGGTTGTTCCATCTAATTATTCCACCGTGGAGGGTCATCATGATTGAATGAACTTGAGGTACTTTCTTCCTCTGAGAGAGTTTAGGGCAGCTGGGGGGAGCTACGATGAGAACGTACGTCGAGTCCGTATATAACTGCAGAGGGTCGCAGAGACCTCGTCATATATACGTATACGTGTTGGCTACGTGACTTGTAAGATCCGTCGGTACTATTATATACATAATATCATATTGTAATGTTCCTTGAAATAAATTCATTCTCGTGTTACGGGTAAATAGGGTCCTTTATTTCTCTCTTCGACGAAGGCTTAGTCCAGTACTTCAGAAACATGTCGTCCAATCTGCTCAACGCCATTAAATGCCTCGTCCCCATTCATTTTGAAGACCTCAACTATCTTTCGGCTCTCCTGCTAATCCCAGTACCAATCTTATTGGCCCATGTAATCCCTTATCTCAGGGATCCTTACAACCAGCGGAGCATACAGGGTCCATTCCTTGCCCGCTTTTCGGATTCTTGGCTAGGTTGGGTAGCGAGCCAAGGTCATCGCTCAGACGTTGTACACCAGTTGCACAACAAATACGGTAGCATCTGACCCACTTGACCCCACATGAACTTTACCTCATATTCCTGCCCATAGGAACTTTTGTGCGTCTTGCACCAAATCACGTCTCCATTTCCGACCCGGACGCACTGCAAATTGTATATGCCCACGGTAACGGCAGCCTGAAATCCAACTTCTATGACGCCTTCGTCTCCATTCACCGTGGTTTGTTCAATACTAGGGACCGCGCTGACCATGGTCGTAAGCGTAAGATCGTCTCCAACGTCTTTTCGCAAAAGAATGTCTTGGAGTTCGAACCTTCTGTCCGTCTCTATGTCAGCCAGCTCATGAACCAGTGGGACCGTTTATTCGACGAAGCTCTCAAAAACAAATCTGGTACCGAGGGAGAAGGTGGTTGGTTTGGTAAGGGAGGTCGTTTGTGGCTCGATTGCCTTCCATGTATGTACCCATGTCTCAATTTCCAATAGCACTGATTGGGTCGTGTCAGGGTACAACTATCTGGCGTTTGATATCATCGGCGACTTGGCGTTCGGATCACCGTTTGGAATGATCCTGAACGCCAAAGACTCCGCGCCTGTTGCTGTTTCACAGAAAGATGTCATGAAATCCTACGGGTCGGAGAATGAGTGTGCATACGTCGATATTCCTGCCGTCCAGATTCTTAACGATCGTGGAGAGTTCTCGGCTTCTATGGGCGTTCTACCTCCCACGTGGCGACCCTGGGTTCGCCTGCTTCCCTGGTACCGCAAAGGTGGAATAGCTGTCAAGAATTTGGCTGGTCTTGCAGTCGCCGCTGTCGCCAAACGCTTTACAACTCCGACCGACCGCGTCGACCTCTTGAGTAAGCTACAAGAGGGACGTGATGATGAGGGAAATCTCATGGGGAGAGAAGAGCTCACCGCAGAGGCCCTCACTCAGCTCATCGCCGGCTCCGACACTACTTCCAAGTAAGTCTTCTAGCCAATCATGGTCAATCATCTTCCTCATTCAGCTCAGCTCGTCATGTGCCATCACATATTACCTTGCCGCCAATCCTCCTGTACAGCTCAAGCTCCAGAAAGAGCTGGACGACGCCCTCGGCAGTGAAGATGAATACGTTTCGACATACGAACAGGTCAAACGTCTACCTTATCTGGAAGCTGTTATCAATGAAGCCTTGCGCATTCATTCGACATCTTCCATAGGTCTTCCTCGTGTAGTTCCTGAAGGCGGTTTGACTATCCAAGGCATTCATTTCCCGCAGGGTGCCGTTTTGAGCGTTCCAAGTTACACGATTCATAGGGACACCAAAGTGTGGGGAGAAGACGCGGATGTATTCCGTCCAGAGAGGTGGTTTGAGCATGATAGTGCCACTTTGCAAAAAGCCTTCAATCCGTTTTCCTATGGGCCCAGGTACATGACGTTTAATGCCACGCGATCGCTGACCTGCTGATGTTGACCCTAACCCTCAGAGCATGTGTGGGACGCAACCTTGCGTCCATGGAGCTATTAATTATCATATCTTCCATTCTCCGCCGCTACCAATTCGTCCTGGCAGATCCAGATAAAGCGGTATGTTCCTTCCATGCCGGCCATCTCACACGAACTAACTGTAATGAACTAGTTTGACACACGGGAGGGCTTCCTGCGAAAGCCGGTGGAGTGCTGGGTGGGAATCAAGCGTCGGCAGGGATGAAAGGCAGAGTAATCACGCTCTGTTTTGAGTTTATCCGCGACTCTTTATTTGCTGTTGTTCTGTTATTTCCTTGTACAACTGCGGCTGAAATTGGGCTTCTTCCACGGTACACTGTGACCGAACCCCAAAGTTTCAGTGGTTTTCACGGACTCTGAGATCTGATTTGCTGGTTCTATTCTTGTTTCGTCGGTCCACTATTACCTTGATAACGACACTGGAATGGAGTATAGATATATCACGGACCCCCTTCTACTATCACACTCGTTCCCTGTTCAGCATCGGTCTCAGGACCTGCATTCGTGCAGATCCTTATATAACTGAGCCTATAGTATATCTTGAGCACATCATATCTAAGCCCGCCTCAAGGCTGCGTGCAGTGCCCCACTTTATCTGACTGACAGCCTCGCGCCATGCGAAGGCAGCACCATGTCCTCAACGCGTAGTCAAACAAGCACGTCCCCACAACATTCTAGCACCAACAATTCTAACAACAATAATCAAATTATGAGTGATATTTTCGGCGCAAATGAATCGCCATCGCTGGTAGTCGCGTTTCTGGCGATCGGGCTGTTTATGGTGGTCATGGCAGCTTTGTTTGGATGGAAAAGGATGCGTAGAGGGAGGTTCGTGGTCCAACCTGCCAGGCCAGTTCGCGTTCGCGTTCGCCCAGGGAGGAAACCGATCGCGATAGGAGAGAAACCCACACTTTGGGATATGTGGACGAGAAGAAGAGACTCGGAGGTGACGATCGATTTAAAATGGGAAAATATAACGGTGCGTCATGTTCCGCAGTCGGCGTCGAAACATAGCGCTCATATATGCTATTGGCTCATGGATGGCTAGCCCTTTTGCGCCACGCGCGTGTTCTGTCGGAAAGAAAAGCCTCGTCGGGCGGTCTTGATGAAAGCCACCGCTGTCGAGCCTCGAAACCCACCCCGTTCATCGTTTGTGATGACTCGGATCTCGGCTTTTAGAGAGCACTTCGGAGTCCGACTGATTCGGAGTCCTCCTCCACCTGCACCTCCTCCCCCACCAGAGCCACAAACGCATGAACTTGATGATATGTCTGAACGGCCGGAGGGCTCGTTCGTCGTGATGGCCTTCACGATTTCTATGCCGTCGCCTAGTACTAGTAGTACTAGGAAGCGCGATAACGCCACGAGCTCTGAAGTATCAGACCGGGTGTCTACGCTAGAGCTGCTCCATGATACAGAGTTGGGAGAGTATTGTATCGGGTCGGTGGAGGTGTCGTGTAGTGAGGATAGGTGACAGTGAGTGGCAAACAGAGTGCAGAGTACTTATTCGACAGGGCTGTTTGGTCTTATCTTTGGATGCCTGATCACATGTATAATTTATGTACATGATGTACGACACTTACCTACCTGTCCTAGCTGTAGGGCTTATTGTTTCTATAATACTGGTTAGTACGGACATTAAGTGGGATTTAGTAGAACTTGCCCTGTGGAAATGGCGGCCGTTGAAGCTTCGAAGGTTACATATATTACGTGAGTTGTCTTCGTGTCTTGAAGGTGCTGGTGAAGCTGTGAAGGCTCACTAGCAAGCGCTGACGGGCCGAATAGCACAGCCCAGTCAGAGAATGACTCGGAGTGCAGCTGAGAAACGAATCACATTTGATTTCCTATCGTCAACCAGACCAGTGCGTCGACAAACTACAGTAACAGTAACAGTGTACTACTACTTCAACGTTCAACGTTGACTCGGGTACGTACGATACAGGGCTATAAGTACAAAGGATATAAACATATGTAGAGCTCGAAAGTGATACACGCGCACGATGACACATAAGTAGAACAGATACACGATGCTGGGACACTAACAACACACACCTGACGAGTTGAGGAGGAGTCTGATATAGTAAAATAAAACTGCAGGTCAGCAAATTAGTTCATAAGTGATTCTTCTTTTTTCAATGCGCCACATTCTCATCAGCACTGCTGAGAGGACATGATACTACTAGCTAGTAGTAGGCACGGGGTCTAAAATCGCGTGACAGCGTGAGGACCACCTGCCACTGCTCTCTCCTCCTGACCAACGAGGTAAGTCCCGCAAACATGGTCGTCGAGAGCAGACAATCCACTCTGCGCACACCCGCTAAGCGTGTGTACTCAGGGTCTGAAGACGCCGTGCAGCGCGCGCGGTGTACATCTTCAATACGGCTGCGCTGCTTGAGCGACATGCCCTCCCACTCATACGTCCGCAGAAGCCCGCGGAGTGTCTCATAAATCGCTTCTAACACATCTTGCACTGTCACCCCGGTTGGATTACGGACTATTATCTCCCATCCAGGGGACAGTAGGTCACAGACGAGTTGCAACTTTGGGATAGGAGGATTAGTTGCAAATTGTGACAGGTGGGATGACAATAGAGGTATGTTTGCTACTTCTGCATAATGCATTGGATTGTAGCGCACATCCCATTCTATGGGGACTTGTACGTGATAGCGCTCCCCACTGGGAGAACCAATAAAGAGGGGGTTGAGCTTGACACCGTGCGTGCGAGTTATGGATCTAGCCATGGTAGGTGAAATGTGAAGGGAGGTTTGAAAGGTTGCGGGAGGACAGAAGTAAGAATACAAGTTTTATACCTGATGAAATATCCAATAACTGTCACTGATGCCTTGCGGCTGTGATGTTTAGGGCCCCACCGCAGAATACAATTCGGACCCCGCAGTCGATACCAACAAAAGAAAACTTACTTGCCTCATCGAAGAACGCGCCGCATATTTGGCCAAAAAGAGGCGACGCGTATGCGCCTGGTTAGGTTTGATGTCTCTGTATACATACCAGAAAGAGAAATGGTTAACACGGCGTTCTTCTTATAATCACATCAGCCTCAACACGTTGTGATGTTGATTGTGTAAAATAGTGACGACAGGTTGCGGGGAAGAGGGGGAAGAACATGCTGTATTGCTATGGGGGTAAGGCAGTGAAAAGATAGTCTGTGACCTTCTAGAAAACGATGTCGGGCATGAGCCGAGCCGAGCCGAGCCGAGACACGAATTCTCCGTGAATGTAAGACCTCGTAAATGTAAGACTTCGTAAATGTTAGAGCCTGGTGCGTAGCCGTTTGACATGTGGAAAAAGATAAACCGAATCCAGATACAGTTGAGGAAGATGCACGTATGTATCACGGGTATATCGGCTTATGTCGGGCGAAACACACAAGGACGGTAGGACAGTCACTGGGGCGCGGGTCCGATGAGTTGTGGCTCCGAAAACACGAGGCTTTTGTGGAGAGATAAGTTGTATTAAGGCGTACTATGAATGGAATGCAGGAGGCGTCGTTTCCAAACAGGGGGAGGCGCGATCACGGACTGGACGGAATGCCCACATATCAAGTGAATTTGGGACAGAGTTGCCTTCCGAGGCCCAGTTCAAGAGGACACGCAACCCTGGATAGACAATACTTGTTGGCAGGACCATCGGATGATACCGGCTTGCTGTATGTTCTAGCCGACGAGGACGTAAGTATCGTAATTAAAGCTGTCAGACAAAAAAAGTGATTTGGTGGTGGCTCGACGTACGTCGACCCATGTATCTGTGCGAGTAACGGACCAGTGGCTCGCCTCATGTTTCAAGTATTGCAAAGTAGACAAAGCGCAGTCCAGAATAACAAAGAGTCCAAGACTATAATAGTGCAATAATTAATATCATATACCCTGGTAAGGCACGTCAAAGAAAGATAGCACGAAACACGTAGCAGTCGTAAAAATCAGAACAAGCGTCACAGCTACTGCGAGTCCAAATCATGATAGTACACGTTCGATGTCCCAATAACGATCTCATACAATGGCTGGTGCTTCTTCAATCCCACACCTTTCGACGAAGGCGATAACAAATCTGGTGGTCGTGGCATGGCTATCAAGACCGAAACTTGGAGAAGAGATCGATCCAACGGGAGCTCCATCTTCGAATGATTCAGATGTGGGGAATCAGTCACTTTAACTAGGGTGGGAGGAGAAAAGAGATAGGTTATCTCAGGTGGTATGCGGTTGATAACCTGACGTTTCCAGAAAGAAGGTCTCGGTGTTTGGCGGTCCAGTGGCGGTGGTAACGGAATGTCGTACTTTTCCGTTGCTAACGGCTATGAAGGTGAGACAGGATCAGAAGGACCTAGGCACTAACGAGAAATGGGCGCTACCTGTGTGTCCCTCCATTGCGAACAGTCCTGACCTAGCAAAACCTGTACATCCCACAGTAGAGGCTTCTGCATACGCTTTCTCTGCAAGGGGATATCGATATCAACCCGCAACATCTCATCAATCATCTGACGCCGTATGACCAGACGATGCCATACGAGTCCACTAATCATGAATAGGCCGAAGAGTGACAATACAGTGACAAGAAAGCCAAAGAGTAGAGATGAACCGCTATTCGATGTGTTTCCATTGCTTGTCGACGTCGAGCTGGGAGCGTATGATAACGTCGATGAAAGCAACGAGGAGTATTGGCTCGTTGACGACGCAGTCATGGTTTCCTTCAACGACGACACCTAAGCGTGGGGGGCATTCCCAAGGCAAACGGATGCATAAGTATGTAACACATTACGGTGTCGAGCGTGAGCACGACAGTGCCTCCCAGTTCCAGAATCCAGAAAGCAACTTTTTTTTTGTCTCACTAATCGACTCACGTGACATGTCGTAATTGACTGGAAGGACAAAAAGAACAGGCAGCGTAATAGAATACAACAGGGTAAATGATATTGTTTGCAACTTACATCTTTACTTTGAATACCATTATTGCTGTAAAATAAGATAAAAATGAAACCTTTCAAGCGTCCATCACCAGTTGAGATCTGGAGCGAAAATGCCAGTAAACCTGAATGGTCCTAAAATACACCAAAACCCACGCACCGTGTTGAAGCACAGCTCTTGCCCGTTCTCTCCTTCGGACATCATCCAGAATTCCCATAACGTGTCTGTCTAGCATGTCGACGTATGGCTTGAGACTTGTATGCTCCCAATCTGAATCAAAATATGAGTGAAAACAACGGGTACAGTGACAAGTGCACTCACTTGCACCCTCGCCTGCCTTGTCAAGCTCTTGAAGGAGCTGCATGACTGTGGGAACTGCATTGGGGTCGAAATTTTCCACCCGGTTCGGGTCAATAGGGACGCAGACTCGGCCAGTTTTAGGATGCACACAGAATGGTGCTTTGAGAAGATGGTTTCGGTGCTTGGATACTTCGGCATCCAGGCGTGGATATGTATATTGCAGAATGATGTCCTCTAGAGCGGCTAGATTTCGGGCCTATGAAGCGTCAGGAATGGCATGGATAGTGGGAATGAAGTACATACACCTGTACCCTTCACCTCAGCCTTCAGCTCGTCCCATTTCTTCGACGATTCTATAGCGGGCTGTTTCTCCCACCGCTCCTCGAGAGTCTCGACAATTTTCTTGTCCGGAACCAGTTTAAGCAGCGTTCGCCAGCCGTCCTCGGACAGGAAGCATTCTTGGTTATCTAACAATGGATACCACATCCTACTCCCTTCATCGCGCGCATGCCACAGAGAAGGTGGCAAATCTCCTGGGTGGCTCTTCGTGCCTATGCCTCTTACATTCACCTTCTTCGCCATCTCCTTACCTCCTTCTATCACAGTAAGCGCCCCAACTACAGCTCTACGTAGTTCGTCGGTGAGCCCCATGGCCTCGTCGTCGCTGACCCACAAATGGATGCCGCGACGGCCCGAGTATACCCATAACAAATGATGATATCCAAATTGCGTGCGCAAGGCTGAGTCAAGGACGCGCACGGCGTTGGCGATGAATGCCCAGCAGCGTTTACATATTCCCGCTGATGTGCAGCATGTGCGCACGCCATCATAATCAGTCATATCGATATCGAACACCAGCTCGCGCTTTAACGGGGTAAAGAGCTTCCCAGATTTTACAGACCGTGCCAATTTCCGTTCGCTTGGCTGGGATGTTGTCAGCATAAGTGCCAGGCAGATTGAAAGATAGCTCACCCGAGATGAGTACATGGGCCCGATCTCGAAACGCGTCGGATTGAGTGCGCACACCTGCTTTTTGAGTTCTTCTGCATTCGAAAAGCAATTATAACGTAGATACACATCTCCCTGGAGAGTGAATGCGAATTCGCGGTTTGTAAACAAATCTTTTGGTGCGTGTTCCTGGTTGAGCCACGTGAAGATGGATTTGAAAGGGTACAGCATGCGGTAAAACTGGAGCATCACTTCCGGCGATGTCTCTGCAGAGTCGGCCATCGTTGAACGGAGGAATAGCAACTGAGTGTTATGTTGCTATCAATCAACGTGTATAACTGGTTACTGAGTACCTTCCAGCAATTTGAGTGACACAAAGCACGTGAGGAAACGTCACGCGCGCAATTTGGTCACACTGTGGGGCCGCCGCCACAGTACGGACTTGTAGTTTGGAAACAAAACACCAGATGGATATGTGCATGAAACTGGTATATATACCATATCAGTGAATATTCTGGGTATTTCACATCTAAGTTTTTCAGTACGCAACATAACGTCTTGCATATCATATGGACTGGCTGCAAATCTCGAAACGAACGGATCAAGTCAATACGACTTATGTGCACTACACATGCAAGAGACCGAGCAATCAATATAGCTGCAAGATGACCAGTCAATATTAAATTTGTAACAGAGGCAGAAGTGAACATTCGTCATTACGACCGGAATGTGCATACATAACAAGCTAAAGATCAAATGTCCAAGAACAGGTTGGATTTCATTGTCATTCTACCATCTTCTAGTATGTCACTGGCAGGAATCGGGATTGGACTCGTTGGATCGAACCGAAGGTGTTGAGTGGCAAGTGTCTGCGGCCCTTTACGGCGTAGTACGTGTTATGAATCTCCAAGTTGCAACAACTTAGGATTACAACATAAACGACATTCCTTGGAACACTATCAGTAGCCCTAAGAATGATTTTAAAATGTTGTAGCGGCCCTTAGGGAAATGTACTGACCTATATGAATCCTTCAAAACAACAACTACCCCCATGTACCCAAAAATTGCCATTCGAGCAGATTAGGGCTTCTACTGAAATATTGTGAGGGCATATAAGATAATACCGACTAAACGTCGTGTGCAATACAGATAGAGGCATGCACGGTGGTATCGCTTGCCGAATTAAAGATGACGGCGTGAGTCCTAGGTTCATTTGCGCCTCTTTCCAATAAGGGAGGGGAGTCCGTAGAAAGACATCAGAGCCCCGTCGACTGAAGGGTATAATACGATTCAGCACAATAAAAGGGACGACGAGCATTGAGCATCGAGGACAGAGAGAAGAGGCTAGCCGAGAAGATATCCTATGCGCCAGTCTAAAGTCACGGTAGGTGGAGTCTGTCCATCTAGTGACTTAGTCCTACATTCAAAGCTCCTTGAAGAACTGACCCCACCAGAAGTCGGAGAATTTTTTGCTGCGTGGCAAGTGCGTCCATATTATCAACTCTTCCACGTGCACTTCCGGGCGTGTCTGTGGCTGAGTTTGACCTTCAGTTTGGACCACTGCAGCTGAATGCCATCACTAATCTTGCACTGATCAATAATGTCTGTCTCTGAAGCGCAGACACGGCAGGATGACTTGAGATCCACAGAAGATATGCAGAGCGTGGAGGCTGTCGACGAAGAGCCCGGAGATGATACGAACTCAGGTGCGATGACCAAGAAACGGAAAGAGAAGGAACCGCAGCGCGAGCGCGAGCTGGGAAAGTCAATCTTGCCATTTTCAAGAGTGCAAAAGATAATCAAAGCGGACAAGGTAGCTGTCAATGGATCCTACCCAGATGGCGTATAGCGTCATGCAGCATTTCAGGAACTTCCAATAGTCGCGCGCGACGCGACTTTCTTAATCTCACTTGCCACCGAGGAGTTCATCAGAAGACTTTCAGAGGCATGCCAGAAGCTCGCGGAGCGGGAGAAGCGAACAACTGTGCAACAGAAGGACGTCGGTACGTCTGGAGCTTGCCGTGTCAGTACTGCATTTCTCAGTTTCATTCTCTCGCAGCAAGTGTAGTGCGGCGAGCAGATGAATTTATGTTCCTCGAGGGTACGTTCCTCTCGGGCTTAATCATCTCCTCTTTTCACAGCGTCGCATGCAGAGATCATCGCTTTTCAACGCACGGAACCTCCGCAAAAACGCAAACCTAAAGCATTACAGGATGCAGAGAGCCAGAGTGAACCAACGATGCTCGATAAGTTTGTCACTAGAGGAGAGGAGAGTCAGGAACTAGATAATAAACCCCCTCCGAATGATGGAGACCAGGACGCTGTTGGAGAACCACGCAAATTTAAGCAATAGTACGTCAGGCATCTAGATTTTCTGAGCTTTTTGCTAATTCTTCTTGCCAGTAAAAGCAAGGAAATTCTATCGGACACAGACGATGAGGAGATGTCATGATACTGGTAGATTCCTCAGTTTTGTCTATGTTATTTTCGTTCGCGTTGGGCTCCTGTCGAGTCACCCTCGCCGATATTGTCATGGACGAAGATGGGACAATGTATGCAGGATAAATGCGTAATCTATGAGGGTAAGAATCCTCTGTTTTGAACCGGTCAACCATAGTTTCTATGTTGTGATTGAGAATCTCGAGGTCCGTTTCATCGAAGAGCTTGAGAAGATCTGCAACAGCCACCATCGAAATCAATGAGTGCATCAATGGGTTTGGAAACGAAACCCACCTTACACGACCTTGCCTACTTGCGGAGAGACAGCGTCTCTAACTCTAGAGAACCAGAGTTAGCTTAGACGCAGCACAGGAAATTTCCGACGCACCTAGTAGGGATTGCGCAACAACCTAAGTATAATTAGAAACTTTAGTAAATATTATAAAGGCTTTTCACTCACTCGGAATTTGGGTCGCAGCACAGACAACGGTTGCGAAATTTCCTGCTTCGATTGTCGAGAGACACTTAAGATAAGCAGGTGTCAAATGATTGTCTCAACAACAAGACGTTAAGTTTGCAATGTGACAGCACAGAATGAATAAAATCAGATATCCAACAACCTCAATAATTCGCAACACTAACGATCTTCTCGATACAACAGGACATAACCGACACATGAGGGGCACCGATTAAAGCGGTGAGCTACTAGAGGATCTGTGGCATCCTAGCTCTTCCTCAGGCCAATATACGGATACACGCGAATAACAGGAAGACAATAACTGTGTGCCAATGTACCACTACGTCCTGTGATTCGATAGCTTGGACGGTATCTGGCAAGGTGTGTGGCGATGCGACGAGATTTGTGTGGTTTGCCTAAGAGAAATAAGCATCAGTTGTTTTTATTGGTGACGTGGAAAGGTAACCGACAGTGTGTTTCAGATGGCCCGATACCAGCGAGGCGGGCCTTCCCTCCCCAGCGCTTCCTTCAATGCCTTGTATTTTTCCTCCGGCGGCACGTGTGTTGGTAACTGCTCCCAAGGATCGTTACAAGCGAATGCAATGCACCAGAAGTATTTGCCCTTGGGAGTTTTCACTCGACGAAAGCTGGTGTAAGGAAGAACGCCTGTCCGTGCCATAACATCCCTCGATCCGAGGAGAATCATATTACTTGTGTCTTCGGGTGTCTTGGCGGGTGGATGACCCACATCAAGGGCTCGTTGCTTCAACCAACCATCGCTAACGAGATATCCACAATATTTTACCATGACTGCGATGCGTGAAGAAGGGTTAGGGTACAGACGGGTTTCCGACGCAACTGCAAGCTCTCACCTTTGATTTGTGATGTGTTTGACATCAACTTTGAACCAAGCCTTGCCTTTATATAGGGTGTCATGTGACGAGGCACGTGCTTCTAAATAGTCTCGATGACTTGAACAATGAAGTTGACTCGGAGGCTTGCGAAATTGGAACTGTGGCCAGTGGCAATTGGTCAACGCGTTGCGTTCTCCCTCTCATTGTTGACCTCTTTTATCCATTCATCAATCTAATCTTTTTGTTCTTGTTCCCTCTCTCTAGGATTGATACGGCCATGTCATGATTTGTCCGAACTGCATGAGAACGTTGAGTTACACGAGCAAGAATTCAATATTCAATGACCATTAATGTTATTGTTCGCTGGAAATGCTGTATAATAGCATCTCACTAGACCGCCATTAATCGCAAGATATCGATATCAAAGTCCATATGGCGTATATATACAACATATCGGTTGCCGTCATTCACTGCACCAGCTACATACTCATTCACGATGGCTCCTAGGACTGATCCCGAGCCATTGCTACCACACAAAGCTCGCTTGGAGACGTCGTATGCATTCTCTCACACGTTCAATCCGCGCAACTTAGAGTTTCTTTGGTATCCGCTGTGGTGTCAGACACTCTTCGATCTTGTGGCGAGTGTGCCAAATTTGATTGTGGCGCCTCAATTCCCTGTTTGGATTATAAGGCATCACAATAACAAACATGAAGATGCCAATGACGGTGATGATCCCGAAGAGATCGAAGGGGAAGAACAGCACAACGAACCAGAAGAAGGAGACTATGAGGATGGGGCGGGGGACATTTCTTTCGCATCGACCGTCCCGGAAAAGAAAGCCGAGGGCATTCTGGTAGATTTTGCGATCCTTAGTCTCAGAGCAGTACCCCAGCCAAAGGAGAAGCTCCGTTATGGCAGGTGGCAGATAACTGGGGCGAGTGTTTGCCTTCTCGTGGAACTGAAGAGATTTGTGAGTAGGAGTCTGAAGGATGATGAGCTGGATGTGAAGATTTTGGCGCATGTTCAGGAGGCTAGGTCTGACCTGGTGAAACAAGCAGGATATCTCTTTATCAAAGATAAAACGAAGAATTCCGTCATGGCCATCGCCGCTGCAGGTAAGTCATTCATACCACCTGTGTATTACATATGATAACCGTTATATTGCAGGTCCGTTTTGGAGCGGCGCCACAATACATCGTGACAATATCAAACTCACCATGCACGTTCTTTCAGCCAATGACCCAAGCTATCAGCCCCCAGGTGAAAAATTCGTTGACCGGTGTAGAAACAACAATACTGAGTGGGGCTATACGAAGATGGCTCCAAACTGATATATTTGTGTTGTGGTCTTTGCACTGCCTAGTCTGCTATACTTGCCTGACAAGTGCGTTCGACCCAGGGGTCTGCGGTCTGGGAATAGTCTTGGGGGTAAGTGAGTGATGTGGGGTCAATAGTCCGAGCGCGGGAAACAATGTCCAAAGGTATAATTACGATGTCCGATGCAAAGCGTCGGGTCCGATGTTTTTGGGGTTTCGGGTTATCGGGTTCGGGTTCGGGGTGTCGGAAACTAATAGTAACGCTATAGTGAGCGTCGGAAGAGCGAGCGGTGTGCGCAATAATAACAATGACTGATACGGGCGGTGAAGGAACGATGATATTCGCAATGTCAACTAAGAACTACAAAATATCGGGTTTGACCACTAAGCGTCGGGGAACTGCTCCCCTCTACTTGGATGATGAATAATGCTCGAGGTCAGTCCAATATATATGTAAGTACGTAGAAATGCGGAACCCATAGGCGAAGGTAGCGGCCGATGATTTTGGATCCGAAGTACATGTAAATAAACATGAGGCGCTGCGGACTATGGGAAATCATGTAATAGCACTGACCTGCACCAAACTGGTTCGGTGCATGGATGACCGATACTCTCCTATGAGCCCCTATGCCCTAGAATCACTATGAAATCATTTTCCCTGTGACCTGAAGTCAGACTGAGGCTAAGGGAATATTTTTCGCTTTTTTTCACTTTTACGAGTTTGTACGCGAGCGGATTGAATATTTTTGTACATTTATTCCTGCGATGAGTTTTGCTTAGTCAGCCATGAGGGTGACTCAGACAGATTCTCACACATATCAGGTGACTGTGAAAAATATGTTTGCGTAAGGTTACCCTGTGGGAAAGCTTACAAATCACTAAACACGCGTCCTATGTCATTATGTTACCAGTCAATTCATCAGCCACAGATTTTATAAACATATGTACACAATATGTAATCATTTCTCACTCTTGTCTAGCTGAGTCATCAAGGGTCACCTGACCCATGAGCCATACGCAGCTCTTGCTGACTCATCATTATACCAACTAGAGTTATGAATATTTACTTTTGACTCAAAGATACTGTGTGACTTGGTGCTATCGAACTAAAGTTACAACTTTAAGTATGAGAAACTAGTAGTATAGCCACCAAATTTGTCTATATAAGGACCAGCTTTTTGCCCAATAAAATAAGCAGTTCCCCACTGTTTTTGACTCTCAGAATAAAATTGTGAGTGAAGTGTGAATCAGCAACCAGCAAGTGCAGTTCAAGGTTGGAGCTCACTGTGCTCAACAACCAGCACCACACTTTCGAGCCCATTGTGCTGAACATCTAGCACATACCTTGAGCTCGCTGTGTCTGACGACTAGCAAGACTAATCTTTCTTTTTCTGTTTTCTCCTGATTGTCTGTCTGAATTTCTCTGTTTCTTTTTGTGTCATTGTCTGTGTCTCTGTGTCACGAGTTCCAAATACAAACCATTATACGTTCCTAAATTCTAAGTCCTTTAAGCGCCCAGTCACAGTGCCTGTTACTAAGAAAGTATTTATAGTTGAAGATGTCCCAACAACGGCGTCTATTGTAGAGTTACCTAAAGAACCTATGAACGAGTCACGTGACTTATCGGAGTATGCCGGACTAAACTTTATTCCAAATGACCCTGACAGAATGTTCCAGAACCTTACGGTTGCTGCGGCACATGTCATGACATCATAATTATATATAGAATCATACGATATCATCTTATTATTTGATTGGTAGTTAGTTCAGACTCAGTTTCGATCTCAGTTACAAATATGTGTATATAGGTAGTGTCTTGTAGTCAGTAGTTCTTTAGTTCAAACCTCTTGTATCTCCAAGTGAGCAATACCAAGACGTACCTGCTGCCTTATCCTCTTGTGATTATCTTGTTGTTTGAGTCCTAGTCTCTGCCCAGCGTTAATTCGTTATTGGGTTGTGACACTCTGTCTGTGAATCTCTCTGTGATTGTTTTTCTTTTTTCTCTCTCTCTGAGATCGTGTCTGAGATTCGTGACTGAAGCTCGTGTTCTCTGTTTCTCTCTCTGTTTCTTTGTTTCTCTGTTTCTCTGTTTCTGTTTCTCTCTCTCTGTCTTAAGTGTGTGGTGTGTTGGTGACTGTCTATACTGACCATCTCTCTGATCGCTGTCTGTTTGCTTTGTGATCGTTGTTGCTAACAGTCTCTGTGTTCGTGTTCGTGTTCGTGTTTTTGTTGTTGTAGCGGTCTCGGTTTGTTGATTGACTCAACCTATCAACTTTCTCTCAAGTACCAAAGTTTCAGTCTCATTCTTACCCAGAAGTTTGGTGTTGTCTCTTTTGTCCACGGAAGACTCTGATAGTCTAGTGGGGAGACTTTAGGTGTTGACAGTGATACCTGACCTCTTACATCTGTGTGTTATACCGATCGAGGGTAGTCATTTGCGAGTTAGACTTTAGCTATTGAAAAGGGGACTTGGTATTGAAGTCCAAGGTCGCCCGTTCCTGAGTCTGTTTAATACTCATTGTGAGTTCCTTGGCAGCAGGTTCAATATTAGGCTAAGAGTGCTACAAAGGCTTGACTAGGCCTGACGGTAGTTTCACCTGTTTTTGTATTGAGGGGGACTCTCATTGTAACTCCGCACAACTTGCTGCACTAAGTTTGTGTACGAATCCTTGTTGCTGTGTGAAGTGTTAGGAAGAGTGTCTGTTTGTTTTGTGTCATCTCTATATTGTTAGAGTGACTGTGTTTCCTGATTTGTTTTGTTGTTGTCTGTGTTGTTGCGATTGTTGTTGTTGTTGTCGATCGCTGACTGACCGAGTTCTGTGTTGTTTTTCTCTCATCACTGTGTTTCATATCCATATTGTTGGATTGACCATTGACTGCTGATCGCTGACTACTGACTTTTTGTGCGAGCCATATTCTACTGACTGTATCTTAGGAGCAAGGCAAGCCACCCACGAACGACCACGTTATCAGTCATTGGTATTTGTCTGAATCGCTGACCGTGGAGATATTTGGTTTTATAGGTGTTTATCTATAGATCATCTATCTAAGAAGACAGCGCTGGCTACGACATGAGTAATGTGTGAAATAATGAACTACACACCTAGTGGGGCTAGCAAGACGGGACGGGACACGGATAGGACAAGTGCGCAGGAAAACATCGGGTCCGATGCGGCCTAAACGTCGGGTTGGCGGGTTAGCATCGGATAACATCGGGAAGTGATTAGCATGTGACGGGTATTTGACGTGTACTGTAAAATAGCTCGATACGAGCCCAGCGCCAGCTCGTGTCCTACACCGGGTGCCAAAGTGGAACAAGATCATTCGCCTGGATGGTGCATCCTCCGCAGCAGCTTCCGAAGCCCGCCTACGCACTGTTTGCAAGAAGATGAGGGAAGTGGGAGATTAAAAACGTCAGATCAGGACCTAAGGAACTACTGTGACAAGTAGGACACAGGCTATATATTCAGTCATTAGGAATATGACATGACAGAAAGATGTACTCGCCCACTTCCACACAAGCCCTTCCTGGAACGTCCACTCTGTTGGGTTAATGTGCGGCAAAGAGGGACATGCATTCCGGGTGAGAATTCTTCAGCGCTGTTACTGAGCTCAGTGTAGTCGGCAACTCGACGTACTTGGGTGGGGGTTCTCGCCCACTTCCACACGAGCCCTTCCTGGAACGTCCACTCTGTTGGGAATAGAATGATCATGACGATTTTCCATCTCGCAGCACCTACCAGAATGCACCCTCATATCACGCGGCGCAGGTGATCTCCTAATCATGAGCAGCAATTGAGTGATAAAATATGCATATGAACCACAACAGTACTCGGGGCAATGATAATAAGTCCAGCTGTCATGTATTCGTAGAGAAAACAGTTAACAGCAAGTGTTCAATATTAATGATTATAGTATCCAACATTTTGTACCATATAGCGAGCACCCTGTGGGTAAACATATGAAGATACTTATAAAAACCCACACAAACACTATATGCAGTATGTATGAAACATCGAATGAGATACCGTCCTCACAAAAAACAAGTGTCCCGGTCTAAAACTTCTCTCCTGGATCTAACGGGCCCAGCGGGCCATACTTCTCACCTGTCATATCCCGCGTTCCGGACCCGGACCTATCACACACATCATTTCCGGATGTCCGGATCCGGCCGACGTCTATCTATGTCCGGATCCGACCCGCGTCTAACTTCCATGCCTTATCCCTTTGTACGTTCCTACTCCAGTTAGACCATATCATTTTCCGTACCTCATTTCATTTCCGCCTTTATTTTCATCTGTTCTAATCTCCGGGTTCATTTACTATTTTCCGATAGACTAGCGTTTGACTTTTCTATACGCTCCGTCCACAGCTTCGTACAGCTTCGGACTGCGCATCTCTGTTCTCTGATAAGTCCTCAGTAGTATATAAACCCTGTAGAATCTATGTACATCCTCAGTTCGAATATCATATTAGACTCTGCTCATTCTCTCCTCTGTCTGACTTGAGTTTCTCTCTCGTCGACCTCCGCTCGTCTTAGGATCGACTCCTATAGACTTGACACCTCCGCCTCTACCTCTGGTAGTCCTCCGCTGTTTCCTTTCTAGTTCGGACTTCGTCCGGATTAGTCTTATCTCTTGTTTCCGAACGTCCGCCGGAATTCCCGCGCATCGGACATCGGACTCCGGACATCGCCCGACGCCCTCCGGACATCGTCTGGTAACCTTCGGACATCGTTCGACAACCCTCGGAAGTTAGGGGCACGTACTCGGGTAAGGGGCGCAGCGCACGAGCTGAAGCCAAGCCCTTTGGATCCGACCCTTGAGCTCGTTCTTAACAGTATATTCGAACTCACACCTTACCGAGTATACTTACATCTGACTTCATGGCACCTACACGGGCGCAGACCGCTCTCAATGCAGCGGGTGTAG